GACTGCAGCAATAACACAGAAGCATGTTATACACTTGTCATCTTGGGATGATTCACATTCTGAGAAATGTTTCTGCAGAGCCTCGGAGGTGTTTGCGCTTGAAACATCTTTCAGTGGTCATGATATCATCACATGTTGTCTGGGTGAGATGAGATTTCTTATATAAGTTCAAAACTTGTTTATGGAGTGCTGACGCAACAATGTTCATTTATTTATTATTATTGTTATTAATATTATAATATTACTTTACTACCAAGAGGGCGATCCTCTTGATGCGCCGTTGGCCATTAGCAGGCCATCTTAACCTATGAGACCAAAATGGAGGAATATATCGTAACATATGAGCTGTGTAGAACTCCATCAATTTTTGTTTCATCCTTCTCTCTGTGAGTACAAAGTGCTCCATAAAAGAGGAAGGGTTTGCAAACAGTGCATACAACGTATGTACTTCTTGTCCAATTGGCACGCAAGCTTGCTTACTGACAGTTTGCTAGCTCTTTACCAACTCTTTTTGGATGAAAGGATCCTATGAACAAAACGCCAGGGGGGCTGAGAGAGTTATTCTAACTTATTAGCACTAGCATGTTCCCGGCTTGTCAATTTTATTCATATATTTATTTATATAGCCCAGTATCATAAATCATAAATTTGCCTGCAGGTGATTTACAAACTGTACAGCATATGATACCCTCTATCCTTAGACCCTCAATTTGGATGAGGATAAACAACCCGGCAAAACACTCTTTAATGGGGGAAAACTACCAACTCACCCAACACACTGACAATAGTCCACCTATTCCACGATGACTTGCAGATGAATTTTGCTGTGACCCTTTTTTGTACATTTGCTTTACTTTTTTGGTTTTTACTGCAGATGTGTCCTTTTTTATTATTATTATAACACGTAACTGCTCCTGCCTCCAAGCCATGGTCAAACCCTACACTCTGGTGTGACCGTTGCTCCTCTGCCTCTAGGTGTTTGGCTGCCCTGTCACTCTCAGGTACATGCGGTTGCTGATCCAGATCAAGGCATCTCTCGCTTCTGGGTGGAATGAACCCCCCACCCACTAAAAACAAAATCACTGTCCATCACCCACCACAGGCTGAAAACCCACATTTTCAGACTCAGAGGAGAGGAGACATATTGTCTGAACAACAACACAAAGTCTCTAATATGTCCAACTACACACACACACACACAAACTGACATTCAAGTATCTTTCTGTCAGTATTTGTTGTGTCTGAATGTCTAGTGTCTCTCAGCTTTGCTGCAACACTGTTTTCAACCTTCACATTTTCCATTAAAGTAGGACTTGAATCTGTGCTCCAGACTGCGAATGTTTAATAGTGCAGACAGCGTGACACGGTCATGACGTTCACCTTTAAATTGCCCTCTCTACTCCAACACTTGCACTTCTGCATCAGGTGAGAGACACAGAGCAGGAGGGTCATAAGGGCACACAAACACACAAAATAAATACAGGGGTGACGCTAATAAACATCAAGAAGCACATAGTACAGGTTTACATACAAATTGTGTCTACAGGCTCTTCTTTGTGCATACAATCACTTGCAAACTATGTGAGCTGCATGAGCGGCATTTTTCAGAATTAATAATATAATAATACACTTCATATATCACTTATGTAAAACAATTAAGAAGCCAAACACCATAAAGCAATAAGGACAACTAGAAAATTTAGTCTAGTTTTCATTAATTTCCTGTCATTTTAGGCAAATTTTTGGCAATTCGAGTGACCCTGGAAGGGAATTGTATTTGTACAGCATACAATTCCCTTTTAGAGTATATGAATTGTTTCTGATCCATGCCAGTTAAAAGACCATTACGGTAGCCCAATTGTGAGGAAATGAGAGCAAGTATAATTCGATTCTATATCTTTCAAACACAAAATTGAACAGATCTTAGCAATATCCCTGAGATGGTAGAGGCAAGATTGGATGACAGCGCTGATATGAATATCAAAATAGAGTATGTAATCAAACAACACACCTAGGTTTCTGACTGAACACTCAACATGTTTGAAAGGTGAGAAGTAAGGACTGGAATTGTAGGTGCAGATGATTGAGGTCAATAATAACATTTTGGTTTTGTCTTTTTAGTTGAACAAGAATTGTCAGACATCCAACTTCTTATATGCCGTAACTCTCTTAATGTGGAGAGGCTAGTGGGGTTGTCAGGTATAACTGGAACATACATGTGTCTGTTTTGACCTAGTGCACTAAAAGTAAATCATGTGAGTGAAAAAAAGCCTATTGTTTTCTCCAAGCCAAGCAGCAGAAAACTTCTCTTGTCAAGTGCTATTGTCTTCTTTTGTGGTTTTGTGGCTGTCAGAGCGAGCCGTAAATGTATGTGCACACATTTATACACTGGCGGAACAGCCACCAGGGGCAATTCGGGGTTCAGTATCTTGCCCAAGGACACTTCGACATGCGGGGATTGAACCCGGGCAACCTGAGCCACAGTCGCCCCAAGGAACTCAAGTAGAAAAATGTTCAAAGCTCTATGACCTTCAGAACTGGTCATTATGTGGGGTTTTTTGTCCTGGCAGTTTGATCTAGGTGATACGCAGCACCTTTGCACTTGCTCTTGGCACCAGGGACATCACATGATGTGTGTGATACTATGTGCTGCAGCACTGCGTTGTCACCAGGAGTCAAGGTGAGCAGCAGATAAATCATGTAACAGTAAATACTTACTTTCTCCATGGAAGAGTTTCATGACCAGCACAGCGTCAAGGTTCTGCGTTTTGAAGCAGCATCGAATCAGTCACAGTTTGGAGAGGTGTTTGTGTACTTAGTATGCCAGGGGCCATGAAATGTATGTGAAGCCAGCTGAGAAGAAGGCAAAAGAATAGCTCATGACAGGATAAAAGGCAGGAGGCGTTGGGCTGCAGAACGAATAAGAGGCGTATTTGGCTTGACACTTTTCTCTACTTGCTTCACTCTTTCCAGTAACACATTGTGTGCACAGTGAAAACAATACGTCATCAGCACATCAGCAGCTACAGTCCTCCGTCAGTGTTGGTCCTGGATCTGTTTAAAATGATTTGACAGACTTTACAGACCAAAGTACACACTCATGCACCTAAGCACCTAAATGAGAAATAAAGCTTCTAGTCAATGTATGTTGTGAGTAGGCAGCTAGATTCTAAAGTCTACGATGGTATAAGGAGTGGGAAAAGAAAGAACGTGGTAAACTGACTGATCTCAATTTTAGATCCTTAAATCTTATCTTAAATGGACCTTAACCCTTCAAACTAGGGTTCATATTGACTTAGACATGTGTCAGAGTTTAAGGACAAGTGGAGAGTTGTTGACTGGTGACATTCAAGGCTATGTGTGTGTTTGTGTTGAGTGGAAAGTAAAGAGAAAGTCTGAGATTCATTACACTGTGTATCACCTATAGCCTAATGTACTGTATGTTAAATCAATGTATCCAGATGAAATCACGAGCCAATAAATAGCGGGGTTCCCATTTCCAGCTTTGAATATTTTCATCCGCTTTGTTCTTTTGCTTTTTCAGCAGGATTCTCTCTGGGCAGTGATATTGAGCAGTTCAATTTTAAAGTGAGATCAATTATGCAAATGCCTGCATTGCTCAGTGCTGCTGTTTCTCAAAACCATATCTGTATAAAAGAAGTGGATGTAGTTTTCAAGTTTTCAAGCCTCGAGCTTGGCATTTTGGCCGTTGCCATCTTGTTTTTTTGAAGCCAGAAGTGACCATATTAGGACGACAAGCTGGAGCTGGAAAGCTGGAGAGGGATATGCATTGCTACGCCTCTATGCTGACTGACAGGGAAGCGACTTGTCAATCACAAGGTAGCCACGCCCTAAAGCATAACCTGCTTTATAGTTGATTTTCCTCTAAGTGGGACCATCATTTACTAAATGAACATCCTGCTGTATTGAACTTGAAACTAGCGTTTGCAACCATAAACTCATAAAGAAAATGTTTACCCCGGAAGGTGATTAGTTTAGCATAAACAAACAGCTAGCTTGCTTAAAGGTAGGAAAATTCCACCTACAGAACACAAGGCGAATGTCAATGGAAAGAAGTAATTAAGATGCAAATTTGTCAGGGTGGTTCAAATTGATGTGAAGACTCTTTGAGATGCTGGGTTGAAAATGTTTCAGCTTGAGTGAAAAAATTGCAGTCGTGCGCCAAGGCTTTATAAATCTGCTTTGTAAATGTTCAGAGGCTCAGCTGAACACAACACATGCAAACAACAAGTCTGCACAGTCTGTACATTGGTTGTTTGGGGCAAATAAACAGCCCGGCTGTCCAATTCACATGAAAGACGCAAGGCAAACATTTGGTGGATTTTGTTTCCTTTGCAAAGAGCCCAGCTATGTTTCCAGTTGCTATGCTAGGCTATCAATCTTGTCATCTAACTCTCGACAAGAGAGTATACTGTATCCCAAAATGTCAAAGTAGTCCTTTAAAGGAGACCTATTATACTTTTACGTATTTTATAACTTATCTACAATATTACAACGTTGGATGTTCATGTTAAACATGGCCAAAGCTTTAAATAATGAGATTAGTTAAGTATTTAAAAGAAACCTCAGATTTCCTCCTGTTCTGAACGCTCTGTTTTGAACTGCTTTTTCTGCCATTGGCTCTGTTCTACACACAGAGCTAGACGAGCCGGTATTCCATATGGTCATTTGCTCCGCACAGCAACGGCACAGCAACGCTTAGTCTGTTTACCTCTCAGTGACAGCAACAGCCTGGTAACATGCTTCAGGTCAATCAGAAGACAGTGGGCTTTAAAGGGGGGGGGGGGCTTAAAGAGACAGGAGCATCTACAGCTTGTTTCACACAGAGGCTGAAATGAAGGCCTACATGAAGAGCCGGTATAAGACAGAATTTTTTTTATTTTTAACTTTGAATCATGCAAAGCTGCCATACAGGAGTCACAGAACTACATTATAGGACTGGAAATGCAGTATAATAGGTTTTCTTTAATATTGTTACAAAGCTACAATGCTAACATTACATATTTAACCACTCTGGCCTTGCTTTAAAAGCTTGCAGGTTGGATGTGACCCTCAGTGACACACACATGATAGTGAACTCACCAGAGCTTGATGACCTCAAACCACTGCACAGCAAACACACACTTGAAACAGTTACCCTCCTGATTACACACTGATTTACATGGATGGGGATTTCTGCACAGAATAACTGAAGACATGAACACCTTCACAAACCCTTCCCCCTCTGAGCAGCTTCAATCAATCCTATCGTTTTGGACATAAATAAAAAACCATTAATCTTTGATAGGACAGCAGCTGGTTGTAATAATAGCAGCACTTTTGTGTTGCTATGTTGAGAGAAGTGGCAGGACATTTTCTCATGGAGCTGTCCACTGAGAGAGGTCGTGGAAGATCTGCCATCTGCACTTGCTTGAAAACTCCTCCTTTCTAAAGACAGAAGAGGGACTGTTGAATTTGCTTCATTCCTTCAGATCCGAGTGTCATCACTGTCGGCTGACAAGAATGTGCAGATCTGCATGTGGCAGGCCTGGATGGCACTTGAAGTAATTGCACTGGTAGCTGATGGACTTGGAAAGAGACAATCTAATCATTCTAATCAAAGAATCATTCTGTGCTACAGCTTGGGGCTGATGATTCCTTTTTCTGCATGTGCTCTGCAAGAATCAACAAAAAGAAATGTTTTTGATGCATCCAATGACTTGATACAGACCAGCTGTTAAATTTCAGGTATGTGCTATTTCATTTGTGATTGGGTTGATCTTGATACATTGGTGGTAATCTCGTGGATAATGTGACAACAGGATCTGCATCAAAATAAATGCTGTATAACGGTATACTCTTTAAATGACACAAAGCACCAGAAAAGGAGACAACTCATATGCATGACTCAAAATCAGCAGTTCGTCGGACACCGACGCATGCAGGGTGACGCGCTTAGTTCTTCCCCCACTCCCACCCTCCCTCCCTTCCTTTGGTCTCTCTCTGCGGTGCAGTCGTGCGTCCTGCCGCTCTTGTCCCAGGGGATTCGGTGCCAAGCTTGTCTGGTTGGACGCAGCGCACTGTGAGCGCACTACGTTGTTTTTTTAGACGCGGTCTGCCAAAGTTTCGGTTAACAAACGTGGAATATTTCTCAGAGGTGAAATGACCTGACAGACGTAGAATAGCCACCAGCTCTGGTGAAGGTGGGGAGTGTGCGGTTGAACGCCAGCGCCGTGCGTAACAGTAGGGGAGCAGGTGGATGGAGAAGCTGGCGAGATGCAGCTTTCCAGCAGGTCAACGCCGGGCCGGAGCGGCTGGACTCCATATTCTCTCCTGAAGGATTTACCTTTATGGACTTGATATGAGGACGAAGTTTTCTCTCTTTAAAAGTAAGTGATGTTTTGAAGAAACAAAAATGCAGTGTGGGAGAAAGGGAATTTAGTGCTGATTTTTAATGACGCTCAATCAATTTGTCTTCATCCAAAGGCATTTCTGTGTGGACTTGCTTTTGCGCGCGCTGTCGTTCAGTCCTTACATAGACAGCTCTGTTTTGTAGGTTAAAAGAAACATTTTTGTCAAACCTATTATGAAGTAGGCTACACACGCGAGCCAAGTCGTGGCGCAGCGGTTATTTAGTTTTTGGCACCCAAATGAAATAGTTTCAAAGTCGGACCCACAGCACCTACTTTACTCGCAATCTGATATCTGTGACTGACTTTTGGGATAAGAAGAGGATAGCTGATTGCTCCTCCCTTTCGGCACAGCAAATAAATAAATAAATAAATAAAACGCGTGCCCTAATTATGCGACTTCGCTGTCCCTTGATAAGAAAGACAAACCAACCTGCTCACTACTGGCCGGTTTGCCATTTTACTGTCAGTGTAAAAAGTCTCCTGTTGAGGTGGACATTTATCACACCCAGCCTGCAGGTTAGCGTGAGGCTGCATCAAGCCAAGCTGCTTCCCTCACATCTATTCACACGGTCAGTGCTGAGCTGAAATCCATCTCCTGACACCCAGCCAGCAATGTATGTTTTTTTTTTTCCTGTGGGTCTCAAGTTGTAGCCTATTTCACTTTCTAATAGGTCAACACACACACACACACACACACACACACACACACACACACACACACAAGCACTTATGTCTATAATCAAGCCCCCCTACTATCTGTTTGTAAAGACTGATAAGAAATTGTTTTGGTGGATTTAGAATTTTGCACTTAAAGTGAGAATTAAGATTTTCATTCACATCAGACATTTTTATAATATTTATGGTAAATGTTTTTCCCAGCATTAACACTGTTATCACTGTTAACAACCACATGTGTCGCCATATAATCTAAAGGATTGTAACTTTAAAATGTGACTTAAAAACCCTTAAAATTATGAGAAAGCAGTATGTCTAACATGTAATTGCTCTCACAAGGGTGAGAAAACGTCTTAAACAGCGTGTAGATCATTTTGTCCCCTAAAATTCTGTACTGAATCTTAGACCAATACGTTTTTCCAGTGTGGAAAATGAGCAAAAAGTACAGTGCAGAGATTGGTTAACAAACCAGTTCCAATAATGATTCAGTCTTTAAAACTGATGGGGTTAGTTTTTATCATTTTCTAAAATAAAGAATGAATTCAACAGATGATTTTACGAATTTAACAGATTGTACGAAATGAATTTAACAGATTATAGATGAATAAAAATGACAATGATCCTGAGTGATCTAACCTTTGCGCACACATAGATAGAACATGTTGTTCCCCCATCTTCAGTGATGACAAGTAGTTGAACCCTACCTTTTATCACAATACAATACCCTTCATTAGCACAAAGTGGACTGTCCACAGTGGGCCCACTTTTCCAATCAAATGTAATTCAGGTAAATTATGAAAGCAAGAACTGGACCTATGTCCCCCCTCCCCATTGAGCATGCTGCTGTCACTGCAGAGAGTAAGTGATGCTGCCACAGTGTCATAACTGTTTGTCCCCAAGATCAATTGAATAAACATTTGTCTTCGGCAGCACAGCGCCCTCGTGGTTCTCACTCAGGCGTACCTTTTTGCATGTATGCATAAATGTGGGAGGTACCGCACGCACTCACACATATGCACACAAGTGACCTGAACCACTGGGCTCAGTGTTGCATTTGGGGAGGGATTTATGTTCTGGACTGGGTTAGAAAGTGAGAAAAGAGCACAAGACCAAATGAGAGTTGAAATGTTGTATCTGAATACAAATACAGATACAAATATGGCTCTGAAGCAGAAGTCGTGATGAGTTTTGCAGTTACCCATGCCTGCACATTTTTGTGGGGAAAAAAGAAGAGTGTAAAATAGTGCAATTCAATATCATGACATACAAATTGTGTCCCTTTGGTTTGAGTAATGCAAGGTGTCCCGGTGACTCTTTGCCCGCTGTATTTCTCAAATAAAGGACACAATGACCAAAAGTTATTCTTGGAAACCTGTGTCTGGATTTGGCCATCTCCTCCATGTCTGCCAAATGCTTGCTGTGAGGGGAATCAGCAGTGTGGAGGATAATCAAAGATAGGAAGAACTGATCATGTAAAGGAAATATCGTTAATGCTTTAGATTCCTGCCCGCAACGTGCAGCGTAATTACTCCAGAGTTACGGTGTAATCTTTTGTACACTGTAAACAGCATTGCTCCTTTATGTTTTGTAGTTATTATAATAACTACGAGGGACATCTGTCGGACGGTGTATTGTCATGGATACCGTCGGCCTCCAAAGACTGTCTCAGCTGTCGTTCACATCACCAGCCAACTTGTATGTAATAAGGTCATTTAGAAATAAAATCGCATCAGATTAATGAAGTGATGCAGAAGTCATCACTTCGTCTTCCCTGAAACATACAGATTTGTGCTAATTTTATTGGTCATACTGTACCCTGTAATAGTAATAGAACAGGTACCCAGTAGGTAAATAATCCAGAATAAAGTTCCTCCCAAACATCTAGATTATTGCTCAGTGGGTCATACACACCCTGTAATAATAGAATAAGTATGGTATATGGAAATATGGTATTTTTGTAAGATTCTTAATTTTTAACACGTTATTCCATAACTTTACATCTTGTTCCCCAGTACCTACATATATGTATTGGTACGTACAGTACTGGTACAGCATGAGTACAAAAGATTACACAGTAACTCCGGAGTAATTACGTTGTACGTTGGCGGGCTATCATCTAAAGCATTAATGATATTTCCTTTACATGATCTGATGATGTGTGAAAGCAGTTATGTAAAGTAACCTTGCAACTGTTGCCATGGGACTATTATTATTTGTCAAAGGAAATATTCTCTGTTTCTCAGCCATACTTACTGTTCTTTCAATCTTTTGTCTCTCTCTCTCTCCATAGATCTATGTGTTTTTTATAGCTGAGATGTGATTTTTGTGGTTCCTCCTTAATGAAAATCCAGAGTCATCACAATTCCCAGAGCCCCAAACCCTGACACCTTAAAGTCAAATTCCCAATACCACTTGCTTGTCTTAGAAGTTACCACCTCCCTTTCCCCTTATTTCTAGCCTTGTGCTGTAAAATCAATGCTTTTAAGCATGTAAAATCCTAACCTTAAACTCATTTACATCTACCTTCACTTTAACCCTTACCCCTCGCTATCTTTAGACATTTGGAGCCCTTTGATACCCCTCTCACCATCATGGCCTTGGATCAGTGGCCCTTTCTCCCAACTCCCCCCAACATCTCCATGCCTGAGCCCCTCCTCTACGATAGCTACTTCCAGGGGAATGAGTCTGACCTGGATCTGAACACATCAGAGACCAAGGAGCGTCATCAGGACAAGACCAGCTCTGTGGTCATCACCTTCATCTACTTCGTGGTATGTGCCGTGGGACTGTGCGGCAACACCTTGGTCATATACGTCATCCTGCGCTACGCCAAAATGAAGACGGTGACCAACATCTACATCCTGAACCTGGCGGTGGCAGACGTTCTGTGTATGATGAGCCTGCCGTTCATCGCCCTGCAGCTGACACTGGTGCACTGGCCCTTTGGAGAAGTGCTTTGCAGGGTGATCATGACTGTAGGTAGGTGTAGAGCAGAAGTGCTAATGGTGCACTACAGAAAACAAACAAAAAAAAAAACACTTTTGGGTTCCTCTAGAGCATCGGTCGGCAATAGGTGGCCCGTGGGCCAGACCCGGCACGCCAGCAATAATATCTGGGCCGCGGCTAGATTGCTTTCATAGCAGAAAAAAAAATAAATTTATAGCGGCTGGTGCTGAAATAGATCTCAGTCATGATAGCTCATGATACTCACACAATCTCTTCCTCTTAAGTGATTGAGAACGTTTTTTGCGGCAATGCTTTATGTCGAGTTTATTGAGAGCTTTTACTTTGAAGAGTACTGAAGGACATTCACAAGAGACTCTGGCTTGCTTGACACACCTCTGAAAAAGCCGTCAGTAAACGTGTGATAGGATTCCCCTGAATCTCCTCAGGGAAATGAAAATAAGCGTCCATAGGTTTTTGAATCCGGATCAAACGCCTGGATGCGCACACACTGTAGCACATGCTTTATGCCAAAAGTGTCCTTATAATCAATTTGTTTAACAAGGGAGAAAAAAACACCTCAGTTAGTTGTAATTGATCTTACAAACTTCCTAATGGGAATCCCGCACAGTACTGACTGAGCTAAGTGTGCTCACATGCATACAAGGATTTGAAATAATTTGACTTCATTTGGGCCCGGCTTGTATCTGGTTAAAAAATTTTGGCACAATGCCAGACTTATTTTCCGACTCCTGCTCTAGAGGGAAATTATCCTAAAATCATTGTCTGCTAAGAGTAGATAAAATCTTACATTATAAATCTTAAGACTTCAATTGCAAATTAAAAGTGTGTTTATTAAAAATCTTGGACACGTGTGTCTTAAAGAAATAGTTTGACATTTTGTGAAATGGTCTTATTAGCTTTGTTGCCAAAGGCTAGATCAGAAGTTCAATAACACTCGTATATCTGTCTGTTAGATTTTAATCTACAGCTTGGATGCTATTAGCTTAGCTCAGCAAAACACTGCAAGCAAGGGGAACATCTAGCCTTCTTAACTGTCTTATCAATTACTGATAAATTTGATACATATTCTTACCTCACCTTTCTTTCTCCACTCTCTTCTCCACTCTCTCTCTCCCCTACTCCGTCCCAGACTCTCTCAATCAGTTCACCAGCATATTCTGTCTGATGGTGATGAGCATCGATCGATACTTGGCTGTGGTCCACCCAATTAAGTCAACAAAATGGCGGAAGCCCCGTGTAGCCAAGCTAATTAACCTGACAGTGTGGGTTGTGTCGCTGTTAGTCATCCTACCTACTATGATCTTCAGTGGCCTGGACAAGGTGCCAGTATGTGGGATTGTGTGGCCGGAGCCCCAGGATGTCTATTACACAGCCTTCATATTCTACACCTTCTTCATTGGGTTCTTCCTGCCGCTAACGGTCATATGTCTGTGCTACCTGCTCATTATAGTCAAGGTAAAAGCCTGGCTGACATTCAATTTTAATATAATTTTCTTCTTTTGCATCTACATTGTCCTCTTGTTCAATATTGAGATATGTTTATTACTGGCTGCAGGACTAGAATAACAACCAATTTGAGATTGTGACTTGAGTCACGTTTATTTGTAGATTCATTCATTCATTTTTTTACAATAGTGAATAAGTGGAAAACAGCCAAAGACAGTGCATGTTTTTATGTTTTACGTTATTTTTGCATGAGCTTATACATGTTACATATGAAAAACAACATCATGCCATAGATGAACCAGGGTTTTTAAGGGTTATTATTTAAGCATTACATGTTTGAACACAAGCTAGGCAGCAATGGAAAGCAATCAGGGCTATCTAGGGAAAAAATTATTTCACAGGTATTCCTTACATTTGTTATGGGAATAATGTTGAAAATATAAAGGATGATCAGAAAAATCATCTATATTTGGAGGCTTATAAGTTGGATAAAGTCTGTATCAGGTGGGTTTAATGGAACAAAAAACATGATTTAATGTGACTGAGTGTGGTTTCCAGAAGCAATATGAATAATACTACTGTTTTAATCAGTAGTATTGAAGCAGTTAAGCTTATGGCCACAAATGGCAGGTCATCCGTACCCTCATGTGACATGGATTATATTGACTTTAATGGAACTATGTCATGTTTTTCCTACATTACAACCGCTGCCAATGCTTTAGCCTCCTTATTAGCCATTAAACTACCATCTAGTGACTTTGCATTTCCAACATTATTCCCTTTGTGAATGTTATGTATGCCTGAGTGACTGAAATGTTTGGGGTCTCTGATAGCTATTTGTCGGTGGATGGCTCAGGCTCTCACATTCAAGCTCTGAAATGTTAAGAAGAAAGATCATTTTTAGAATCTGTTTCCTGGATACTTCTGCATTTTGGGAAACTCACTTATTTGCTTTCTTGCCAAGAGTTCAATGAGGGTACCACTCCTCTACCTGTCCTTAAATTTGAAGCTAGAGCCATTGGCTAGTTAGCTCAGATTAGCATCAAGATCAGCATCTCTGCAGTAAACCTCACTAATTAACACATTATATCTTGTTTGTCTGTCACTGAGCCTTGCCACGAAGTAGTCCAGCACATAATCTTGCACTTTAGTTTGGCAAGGGATTTTTTTTCAATTTGGAAAGAGCCAGCATAGGAGCTTCTAGGTCATCCACAAAAGCGTGTATCCCAGAATGTCGAACTGTTACTTAAAGTTGTTTCTACTGTATGTCTCACAGTTTGAACGTTGTGCTTTTACATTTGGGAGATTTGAAGCCACTGACAATCCGTTCCTTTCCCAGGTTAAGTCGTCTGGCATACGAGTGTGTTCCACCAAGCGCAAGCGCTCCGAGCGTAAGGTGACACGGATGGTGTCCATCGTGGTGGCGGTGTTCGTCCTCTGTTGGCTGCCTTTCTACATTTTCAACGTCACCTCCGTCACCGGCTCCATCAAGCCCACCTCTGCTGTGAAGAGCACCTTCGACTTTGTAGTGGTGCTCGGCTACGCCAACAGCTGCGCCAACCCCATCCTGTACGCTTTCCTGTCAGACAACTTCAAGAAGAGCTTTCAGAACGTTCTGTGCCTGAAAAAGGTAGCGGGCCTGGACGAGATTGATCGCAGTGACAGCAGGGCAGACAGGAGCAGGATGGCTAACGATGCCGCAATCATCAGTGCCAACTTGGAGACTCACAATGCTGCACTGCTCAATGGCGAGCTTCAGACCAGCATCTGAGGGTAAAGGAGCGGCAGTCGCATCCAGGGAGGCTAGAGAGAGATCAGTGGTGCTTGGGGCTTCCAGACTAATGGGCCACCACTGCACTGCTAGTGACCCCTGTTCAAAGATGCGGGGCAGGAGGATGATGTACTGCTATTGCTCATGGAGAATGACATATGAGTAAAGTCTAAGTAAAAAATAAATTCAGGTCAGGAAAAGTACACTGACTCCGGCTCAAAACTCAAAATATGTGGGTTAATGAAGCAACTTGAGTTCGCCCTGAGGTGGAGCAAAAATGTATCTTGACTATTGATTTTCAAAACTGTAGAGACTAGTGATGTTGAAATCAAACACAAATAAGAGTGCTGTTCATGTTTGCCATCTTGAGATTTCTGTTGATTTGTCAGAAGTGAAGCAAAATTGAACCAAGATCAGAGAGTGGACTGTTCACCCATGGCAGAAATATTTGAGGGTTTGAGTACCATCCATGCCCTGCTTGAGTTTTTTGAGAGCTATGAAGGCTCGGCACTGAATTCTCTGAATGTGGAAATACTGGTGAAAAGGTCGGCAAAACATGTCAGTGGAAAACAGAAGTGTTATTCAAAAAGGTATTCTAGACTTTGAAAGACAAAAATCAGAAACCACAACCCTGAACAGTTTCATGGTCATGTCTTATTCATCTAAGACCAGTCCGGGAAACAAAATGGCATAGCCCTCCAACAAATGAAGGATGCTCTTTTCCCTCTCTAGCTGTCATCTCAACTGGAGAAGCTGCATTGATTCGTAAACTCCTGAATTTAACATCCTGGATGGGTTTATTGATCAAGTGGAAGGGTAGGAAAACATCTCAGCAGCTGCTCTGACCTTGCTACCATTAAAAAAGCTTCAGTTTGTACATACAAAATAGTTTTCTGTCAACCTCTGGGGAAAAATTCTGCATATTGATGATGCAAGTGTCCTAAAATGAATTTCAAAGGCAATCCCTGCTGTAAAATTCTGCATGGTTAAGATGCATCAAGGACAGCTCTGAAATTACTTTTGGGAAACCCATCATTCGTACTCAATATTTCACTGTACATTGGTCTTTACGATAGTTGCTCTCCGTGCCAGCGGTGCCATTGTAAAGAGCCCATTTGTTCTTGTAAAGTGCTGTGTTTTGATAGTATAAGATTTCCTCCTGAGTTCATTTTGAAATGTGGTCGCCACCCTCAGTTTCACATTTGGTTCAGCCAGCGTGTGCTTGCAAAAATTTCACAGAAGGCAGGAAAATGTGTCACATTCAGAGAGGGAGGAAGAGAGGAATATGGAGATAGAATGAACTAAAGCTTGTGTCTGTATTAGTGTATCTACTGAGAACACAAAACATGAAGGCCACGCTTGAGAGGTTCTCACTGAGGCATACGCTCATTTCACTGTATGGCAAATAACACAAAAAGCATTTGATTAATGTGACCTTGAGTTCTCAGTAGCATTTCATACACCCAATGAATAGTAAAAGGAATAAGCGGGCAGCTATAGTTAACTCCAGTTTATACCAGTACTCTATATATTTAGAGGCTTCTTATAAGAGACATGAAGGTCAGGATGCCAGGCTGAGTAATGGAACAATCAATCAATCAATCAGTAGAACATCATTTTCTTTTTTACCATGCCCATTTATGGTCCCCATAGGACTGACTGTAACATAGTAACTGTCCACCTAGCACCATCATTAGGTCATATATATATATTTTTTTTATGACCAAATGTCTAATTCCCATCAAGCTCAGCTGTACTTTGCAGCTTAGTGCTAATTAAGAAATCAGCATGCTAACACGCTAAACTAAGATGGTGTACAGAGTAAATATTGTAACTGCTAAATGTCTGCATGTTAGCATTGTCCTTGTGAGCGTTAGCATACTGATGTTAGCAATGAGCTCAAGTACAGCCACAGCATGGCTTTAGACTATTAGTGCTGTGAATTGGTCTGTTCATTTTTACATAATGTTCATACTGATCCAGCTCCAATTAAGATATAAGGTCATCAGCCTCTAATGTAAACGCTGACCGTTTGACATCATTATCAGCTTTTATAAATTACGTTGCTGGTTCTGTTGCTAGCTAAAACAATACCACTCTGCTTACTTAACGGGGCTAATTCCACTAAGCTACAACTTCCTAGTAGAGCGAGAGCCAAAGGAGCTACAACAAAAGACCTTGTCACAATAACCTGAGTTTGGAAACCTTATCACTCCATTAATGCTGAGTGAATGAGCCCACATCCACAATGTGACATCTATTTCCGTTTTAGCTTTCGGACTGTTTGTGCACATAATTCCTCTAACGGACCTCCATGATGGAGTCACATCTAGTTGGCGGGATATTTGCCAAACAACTGCAAAGCCTCTGGAGTAATAAGGTCACCCGCCATATGCTGCAGTGTCACATTCACTTCATCCCAGCATATCAGTCAAGTCAGAAACCATCAATCAGTGCAATCAAAAGAGTTGAGGAGCAAGGCAGGGCTTGTCCTGGGAGGTTACTACGGAAAATAATTATGTGTGGCCACGCGCACACAGAGATACCTGTATCACAGTTGGTAGTGGACCACACAGCCAATAATTTGGCATGGCCTTCTCTCTGTGCTGTCACTGCTAGTAGTAGTAATTGTAGCAGGGTCATTCTTATCTTTTCTCACAGGTCAAAAAAGTATCACACACTCAAGTTCACAGGCATGTGTGCAGGTACAGTCCCAGATGATGCATATAAAGACAAAACACACACTCTCGTACCCTTGTTGCTCACAATGTGTCACACAGACGTAGGCTCCTTGCACCCAAGTCTGAGTAATTGGAAGGTGATAAGGGTGACCAATTCTGCATTAGGGAGTCATACTGACCCAGCGGAGACTGTGTATGTACGCATGTTTTTCTGTGTATAATAATCTAACACAGCCCAAACCAAAGGCTTTACGTGAGTGACACCCACAACCAGAAGTATGTTTGGATTGTAATTTGATTATCAAATGTAGAACCTGTAGAAAAACCTGTGAATCATCCCTAAACATGCACTATCTTCCTGAATATCTGTATATTTTCTGTCTTTGTGAATACTCACGCCAAATGTGTGTGTTTGTGTGACAGCGAGAAACTCATTTCACAATCTCACCCATTACAGTTAAGGTATTTAGCGCCTTTCAAGTCTGAAGTGCAAGAACTATTCTCTCTTCATCCACAGTTAATTATTGTTGCTCTCTCAGTCCTTCTATCTGTTCCTCTCTCGCTCTTTCTTTTCGCGTGCACAGCTGGTGAAGAATAATATGAGCTGGCACACATTTTGCACCCACTCAAACTGAACTGCGCTGAAATGAACTGAACCATACTGAAGGAAACACACTATGCCTGTCATTGCTGCTGGCTATTTAGACATACTTAATGGACTTAATGATGGACATCATTCTGATGTTTAAGAAACGTTCGATAAGATGGGTCGTGCCAAAACCAGTGTAAATGTAGCGCTAAGAGGACAGCTGAGGCAATGAGACGTTGCCTGTAGCAGCTGCTTTCTTGGTAATTTTGTGAAATCAAGACCTTAATATCGCTCTGAAATTAGGTCATATTCTGAAAAAGTTGTGCTTATTTGGGTTGACATAAGACTTGGCTCTTTGTTCGCTGGGTACGGTCCAGTGACAAATTTGTAAAGGGCATTTGTCCAGATATCTGGCTGGTTCCTGCCACTGTATAGTGTACAGATGAGAGGCGGAAGCGGAGCAATGGGGAAACCTCTGCCTTCTCGCGCTTTCTTTTTCCTGAAACATACTTTGATTTGCGAAGGGCTAGAACGTGCACTCCTGAGGATGCACTGTTCAATATTAACTCTATGTATTTATGGTATCCTCTGCTTGTTCTTGCATGGGGAGGGTTGCAAATCCGACCTTCTTTGTCCCCTCACTAGCCAAAACCAGTGTTATACAGCTGCCACCTTTTTTTGCTAGATACACTCTAGGTACAGAGATGTTTGGGTTCAACTCTGTAGCTTTGTAACTTTTTAAGTTATGATCGGCAGCCAATACAAGTCATTCTTTTGGTCAAAGAATGAAAATTAGATGTGGATTTTTAACACTACAGATTGCACATTATAATCCTGACCAAACCAAACTTTAGCCGAGCTGGTTGTAACTTAACGTGCTTGTCTCTGACAGTGTGCAACCATGGATATGTACTTTTTTGTGCAGTTACATGTATCTATGTGCCTTGGAGCTTAATATAAAACCATGTGATGACGTCAATGTACAGCAAAAACAACATTGTAACCTGTTTCTCACAAGAGCCAAACAGCTAAAGCTTTTGCACTGTACAGACATGTTGGTAACCAAAACATAACAGAGACCTGCTGTATATCACTTACTTATTACTTACTGTTTCCCCCTGCTTATATGTGTGTGATATGTCAGAAACAGATGTTTATTTGTGACTCTTTATTGTTGCATAGAATATAATGTGATCATTGATTGTAATGGACACGCCAATGTCCTCGTCTCTGCAATTAAAATGCAGGCCAGTTTCTGCTCCCGTTGTCAAACCTGTGTATTTGTTTGTCAGATGTAGCCTGAGTGTGAGTGTCTCTTAGTATTTCCAGTACTTAGAAAGTTCCTGGAATTGCATCTTGAAGGGCCCTTTACTACGTATTTCCTCCAAGGATACAATACTTGGAGGAACTCGATCTCTGAACACATCATACAAATTACACCATGTTGTATACAGATGGAACCCAATGTGGGATTCAGTGAATGCCAGCATTTCACAAGGGACTGTGAAGGAACTCCCAAACACAGAAGAGTTATTTAGTCATGGTACATGACTAACATGGTTCAAGGTTGGACAAAACTGCAATGTTTTAGCAGCATTTCACTAACTGTATTTAATTTAATTTACTGTAGTAGAGAACTCCTTTAGAATTATAGCAACATTAGTGATGGTACAAATATTTATATTACATAGTATAAAAAAAGATTTAACCAAATTTAACCCTTTCTTCCAGCTATGCAAGCAGCATGGTTCTAGAAATGGCAATGCAGAGAGATGGCTTGATGGCTTGAGACGAATTGATGAATAACTTTGGTTATCCCCTTTGTTTATATGCCATCATAAGCCTCAGCTGTACTTTGTGATTTGTGCTGATAAGCAAATGTTTGCATGCTAATAGGTGAAACTAAGATGGTGACCATGGTAAACATAACCTGCTAAACCCAAGTATATTAGCATTAATATTAATGCTATATATATTAATGCAGCATGTTAGCATGTTGCTCAAATCAATACCTAACCCTCACAGAGCCGCTAGTGTGGCTGTAGATTCTAACACAAACTGCATAAAGACACATTTTGGTATTTTTTCACTCAGTCAATACTGTCATGACTGTGGGAATGCTGGCTATGGTCATAATAACTTAACACTTTAAACACATGCTAAATCAACCCACAGCCAACATGTAAAAAACGAACATGGTTTGCTGGCTTGTTACCCCATGCACAGCTTTAAAAGCTAATCAGTGAGCCTACATTCTGTTTATTTTAATGTCGCACTCACAGACATTTGACAAGATTTATATAAAATTTGTTTTTATTTGGAAGACTTTGGGCAGCTTCTCCCTGTAAATGTTGTTTTGCCAAAATTGTGTTACCACAAACCCGTTTTATGTGCAGGTGGCAAGCACAAAATTATTATTACAGTAATAATAAGAATAGCCTTGCTTATGAGAGTGATACCCGAAAATTACCAGAATATTTTCCTTTAACTTAGATTCCTTGATGGAAATCATCTTCAAACAAATGCAACAAGGCATGTCATTTTCTATCCAGTTGTAGCTGACATTTTGTCGACAAAATCATATCAGAAGCATGTTTTCTTTGGTTTAATGTGGATTTATTTAGACATCCTGACACGTAGAAGTAGGTATGGCTGACTTGAATACCTTCCACACACAAATGAGCCTCCTTGCAACAACGTTCCCTCATATCACTTCTCATTGTCTCTCCCGCCTGAGTTGCCTCCATATGACTCACGACTATGAACGCTATGCCAACCAGCACTGCTGAGGATTCAGTTTCACTATGAAAACAAGTATCCTGTAATGAATTTCGTGCCTGGGGGTGTTTTATTATGGTGGCGACATGTGAGAGGATGGAAACGAATTTTCACATCCACCTCTAGCCAGCTAAATATCAGTTCTGGGAGAGTAAAGCTTTAATGTCAATGTAAAAAATGTCAGCAAATGCAGCCCCTGCACCCTCAGTGAGGTCAACAATATATTTATTATAGTGGGTCACTGCTGTGCCAAAGCTTTGGTATAGTATGATTAAGCCTCTGTATGACCTTTTCAACAGCCAGATGGAAAAATTACTCAAAGTACCCCGGAAAATCTTTTGAAAAGTTCTGTTGCATAATATGGACTCAAAGTAGAACAAAGTTAAGGCAAGTAGGACAAAACTAGTATCAGTGTATGAAAAACTTCCGTGTATGAAAAGTGTATAGCATAGCATGATGGTATTTGGATGAGACAGGGTGAAAGCACTAAAGATTCTTTTCTGATCGTGAAGAGCATGGACGTTCTAAAGTTTGTGAGGATAAATTATAGTTTCCAGTGAAACCTCTCCAAGCCAAGAATTCTTGTTTTCAGCTTGACTTGATCACATTTTTTCAATTTGTTCTGTAAGGGCTTAATACACACAATTGTATGTGCTTCTTTAGCCAAACTCCACCAGGGAAGGCTCAGTTATCACGACTACAATGGATATTCATCATGCAACACCTGAACCTCACTGAGAATTCCGTCTGTTAAAGCTCTCACATTTTTCTCCTGTTGGCGTCTATTTTTTATATAAGGATGGTCATCCTCCTCATTAAACCTGTAATAGCAGAAACAACACTGATGTATAATCTCCTTTCAGTTTGATACGGCATTTAGCTTTCATTTAGATATAAAGAAAGAAGCAAGATTTTTGATTTGTGCCTACCCGATGAATGAAGTCCAGTATTCACTTTCCTTTTAGATCTGTTTTTGGTCTCCACCAACACTGGAGTGAAGTATTTAACTGCACTTTAGCTGCAAAATGGTAACTTTGTTGGTGTGTTTTTAGGCACAGTTTTTAAAGCCTTTTCACTGTCCCATGATGAAAACAACACCATGAGAGTTGGACAAGGACATAAAAGATTCTAAAACACTCAGGATCGAGTTATAGTTCTCCGTCGGTTGATGACTATGAGCGACCACTTTCACATATGAGTCATTATATGATCTGTTAATGAAAAAAAAGTATTGTAGGTGCTTTAAGTACTTTTTTTTTTAACTGACAAGGTAAATCAGGGTAAACCAGACCCAGTACATAAGATGTGTTTCCATTTCACAACCTGTACCTGTACAGATGAAACAAAGCATGCTGTCTGTTTGGGTTTTCCACTCTTCTATAATGAGCCAACACTGGTGAAGTGAAAACAGATATTCTGTCAGTATTGTAATGCTGAGTTTCAAGAAAGCAAATGTGGAAGTGTAACAAGGTCTGTTTGATCTAACAAAGTTACCCCATGTGGGCAGAAATGTTGTTCAGTGGGCTAGTAGAATTTTCCAGGGAACACTACACAGCTGGTGGGTTCTCATCCTTTGATCATACATATTCCTGCTAATACTCTCTTCTGTAGTGAGCCCCATTTCATCCTTTCAAATCCTTTACCTCACAAACCCAACACCTTCTTTCAAACTCCATCTTTTCACCAAAGTATGAAAAAAGTAACTTCTTTCTGCCTCCCTGCACGATTAAGTGTTGGATTGGGAGTGACAGACGTGAAAATGGTGCATGTTAGCTTTTGTCAATCTCGGCCGGACACAGTGATTAGGTTGGAAATGATAGTTAATCCTGCACTCAGCAGGTTTCAATTATTGCAGGCTGTCTCCATCTACTGGTCCAATTCTGGTGTTGTTTGAGTGAAGGCACTTATGGTGAGTATTTACTGATGACAGCTGTACTCCAGTCTTATTATGTTCAGCTTACAAAAAAATCTAACCTCAGCCTAAGTTTGTATTTAGCGTTAGATGCTCCTATGTGGGTTCAGAACTCTGTGCCTTCTTCAATTAACAAAATCTTTCCAAAACCTACAAAAATATATTATTATTCCTCATACACGTACCATTTATGAGGAATAATAACAAAACCATGTACCATTAAAAAAGAAAATTGCTCCTTGGTGATGTTGTACATGCAGATACTTCAGTACAGCAGGACCTTTGCTAAATGTGTCTTTCTCACCCAGCAGGTTTGGCAATTGTATGTTGTTGCTATTTTTTTGTACTCATGTGAACTGGCTTCCTTTTGTTAATTTGACTACCCATCTGCAGTGGTTCTATTCTGGGTAATCAGGTTTCTGAAGGTGGTTGTTTTGTTAGAGATGTGATCCAGGCAACACAAACAGCTTCGTTGCCCTCTAAGCAAGCAGGCAGTGACTGCCTTTGATTTTTTCGTGTTGTTTTTGTCCTTCCTTCCCCTGAATCTTTGCTTTTCTGATGCTTTTTTATTTCAATTTTTAATCATTCACAAAACAGTTTCTATAGATTGTATGAAGCTTATTCTGCATACTTAAACACATTCTGATGTTAGTTATCAGAATAGACATCTTCCTCTTTGTAATTTTTTCTAATCATTTAGACCCTTTATGTGGAGTTTTTGACGAGGTAAGCATGTTGTGACATGACATTTACATATGAGTGTCTGCAGTTTTGTTTTTTGGCACCAACTTTTCCACATGCCTGTCAGTTGCTATGCACGGCACTCGTCCCATTTCTGCAGTAGATTTCCATGAAAAATTAGTTTTTCCTGCATTTTCTCATATTTCTTTCATTTCGTCATTTTCGGATGAAGAAAGAGGTGTCACATATTTAGATTTCTATAGTATGCTTTACATTCTTTCGAAACTTTTACTGCTGCCAGGTTGCCCACCCATTAATTTTACCTGACATGCTGTTATAATCATATCAAATATATTCTTGGATGCATTTAAAGGATGAAAAGATACTGCATAATGAACAGCATACAAAACCCCCCAAGTAAACATAAAATGATAATACCACACAAATTGGCTGTATGTGCGTGTATATCTAACCTTCATTTCCTTGTCTTGAATATCTATTCTCTAACAAAAAGTGCAAAAAAATGCAACAACCATTAGCATATTTATGCTTATATATATATATTTGTTTTTGCTATGAGCTTTCTGTAGTTAAATTTTATCATTACAGTCTTTATCTAAAGAAATCTACAATATTTCAGCACAGGTTACGAAACTTCTTGTTAAACTGGGACTCAACATAAGCCAAGTCATAATTTTATCTGCGCTTCCTCAAACTGAACTTCTTGGGTTTTTTCTGGATTTTTGTGTTTCACACAAGGTTGCTTTTCAGATGATTTTCATACAGATGTTCCCGAAGTGGAAGTCTCATTTACTTACTGCATACTTGCTCTGGCATAGTCTTGCAATTTGAATCCAGAAAATAAATCCTTTGTATCATTTCATTTCAGAGGCTAGGTATTTTTAACTAGCATTGTTTTAGGTTTAAATACATAGCTTTCAATCTATGGGAGAAGGCCTTTGTAAGTTCCTTGGCCGATCAGAAATCCTGATGTTGGACTGGGAGAGTCAATTCTCAACACCAGTATCTCTAACTTGTTTGTTGGTGGGAAGCCAGTGAGGGATCACATCATTATCAAAGGATCAAAGTGGGGAGACTACTTAATATACTGTACACACACAGTATATTAAGTAGTCTCCCCACTTTGATCCTTTGTGTGTGTGTGTAACTTATATGCACCAAACTTGCAGCATAACTGTGACTACATAAACCATAAAAGATGTGTCTACAACTATTAAATAGCCATAACTATTGAGTCCATCTTTCACGGCCATAACTCTTCGACCATATGTTGCCTCCTAAATACACACCAGCACAACTGCACCTGCTGTTCTCAGTTGGCAGCAGATTCCCATCCTGTTAGTCTCCAACTATTTATTTTAAATGAGACAAAGCAGAACCAAACTCATATGTTGTAAAACAAAACTAACACCTTTTAATAACTTGAGACCCCAGAACTTCCGGTATCTTCTGACACCTGCACAGTAAAGCTCCCTGAAAATCTCAGTGACAAAGTCAGGGCATTGTTTGAAACCTTATTCAAGAGCTTTTTAAACTTGATCTCCTGATCGGCTGTGATCTATCATCTCGCATATTGAACGTTGGGTTCTACTCTTTTCTGATATCCTCTCGTCACTGTACTCACTTTGATTAACTTGTATAAATACATTATTCATAACAGTAGAAATTAGTTGAGCAAACAGGTGTGTGAGGATTCTTTAGTTGTTGGACCACATAGATTTCTGGTTGTCTCACATTTTTTTATGTCTTCAGGTGTAAAAATTGTTTAGTGTATTTACTCTCTAGTCTAAAACTAAACTAAACTTGGCCAGAAAGATTCTGGTTCATATAAGTACTGAGATGATATCAGGTCTTATGCTTAGTGGAGAGGAAAATACATGCTGTGAAAGTGCCCAAGAGTTTCACAAATATGCTGAGATAGTTTTATTATAAAGATTAGGCTTATTTTTGAAAAATTAATTTGAATAAACTGAATTAAAATAATCTAAATATAAAGAACACAATGAGGAGAACCTGCTGTAGTCTGTAAGACCCCCCCCCTCCCCCCAGTTTACTTGTTTAGTTTCGCTCAATTCCTCGATGCCTGTGGGATGATGATTATGTTATTTGATCTCATAAACACTCAACAAGTGAGGTAAAATAGCCTAATATTGCTGTTTGACATAACTTTAGACTACGCAAAATACATTAAAAAAAGTCAGTCCTAAGGCATTTATTAGTTTTTGACTCTGGTAACGTGGGAAAAACAGTTCACCAACACTATTAATAAACTCCATCATTAACCAGGTCACACACGTAGGCTATCTCATGTGATCACCTTTTGATAACTAATATAATAACTAATGTAATATTGTTTCACTTCCATTCACTGAGCCTCCACTTTGAAAACTTCTTTTATAAATGTTATGCATTATTATATTTATATAGGGAAAAAATTTACATTCCAGGTAGGCAACAACCCCAAACACAAAGCTATGGACACATAATTGGCTTCTTCGGAAAAATGTTAATTTGACACTTTGTGTCTGAAAGCTTCAGAAAAAACACATAAGTGGACCTTGAGATGAGAATTTTTTAGTCAAATCGGTGTTTCCAAGGTCAAGAATCACACAGCTCAACAATGTTAATGCTCTGGAGGAGCCACAGTCAAGACGTGTCCATTTGTGGCCCCTGGAACTCAACAGAGCTTTAAAACGTTTAAAGAAGAATGAGAAAAGATTAACCAAACGTATCAACAAAGACTGAATGAAGGCTGCAACTGCTGCCAAAAAGGTGCTTCTACTCTTATGACTTGAAGAGGGCAAACACTGGCTTAAGTACAGTTTTGAGGTACTTGTACTTCACTTGGGTATTTCCATTTTATGCTACTCTTTACTCCACTACATTTATTAGATAACTGAAGTTACTTGTTCATTTACAGATTCAGACAAAATACAAATCAGCTAATTACTAGCTGAAATTAGTTAAGTAAGAAAAATATCTGAAAACGTCTTCCACCACTGTGATTTGCTTTTTGTAGAAATGTGTCTTTACATTGACAGTAAAGTATTTTTGCTGCACATCTGCAGTGATCACAAATATATCCTAGGGGGAGTGATCACTTTTTTATAGGTACTGTGCATTGGTCTAACATTGCTGTGCTCTTTAGGGTGGGGGGAGTCCCCCTTCTATGCAAAGGGGGAAGTCCCAAATCAGACAGTGAGTTCATACCCAAATCAGCTTCCATGCTGAAATACAGGCCTGTCTCATGCTCATCTTCAAACCAAGGATTCTCCCAGCGCTTCTTCATCTCGCCAGGTGAGTCATCCCTCTAAACAGTGTTTTTCAAGGAGACTGAAAACTGAATGCTGTGTTTTCAGTATTTGTGCTGACAACTTCAGCCGGCATTGTCACAGTTTCTAACAAGTAGAACTTAAGACTTTGTGAGAAGTTGTTGCCGGCTCTGCGGCTCTTTAAATACCAGAAACGTCTCTACGCAGTTCTTCAGTTACATTTACACCCACCCACACACACACACACACACACATACACACCATAAAGGACAAGGCAAGTGTGAACAAATATGAGAAGCTTATAAAACGGAAACGGAAAAAAATGTCATAGTAATAGTAAAAAGAGCACCAACAAAACTCAATAAGGGGGCAAAAAAACTGAATACATGAAAAAGAAGTCTGGTTAATTAAGTTTTTTCTGTATGTTTGGAAATATGCACTTTTGTTTAGGAGAGTAGCAATATATATAGTATGTGTTTACGATATTTATTAATTGTACTGCCTTTACATGAAATCAGTAAGGGGGCATGAGTAAGACACTGAGTGCTGATTAACAGTGTGTGACACAAAAACTGAGGAGGGTGGAAGAGATCTGTGTCTTTCACAGTCGGCTGACTCGGTGCTCAGCGGAGCGAGGAGGACTGTTTGAGAACCAAGACATGGCTTCTGAAAGGATGGAAGTTTACATGTCACGGCAACAGCAAGGCTAGATTTACTGGACTTTGGGCCTGCTTTGCAAAGATTGCTCTATAAAAGTTTTAAAAGAGCTTTCATAGCATAAAAGCCTCTCCCCAACTCATCCAGTATACACATGATTATACAGTGTTTAACTGGCGCAAGTGCAGTCTTTTTTATCATGCACTAGTAAAGCTTAAACTTCCTCCCTTCATCTTACATAGTTAAACCAATATATCTTGAGATCAACATCAATATATAGTATACTACTGTTCACAAGTTTGGAATCATAAAACACAAAAGCTTGATTCAATACAGTCAGACGACTCTCACCAATAGATAATCTTTTGTATAAAGGGTTTGCAAAAAAAAAAAGTAATGTTTTGAACATGGAGAACATAACAAAGCTACCTCTGAGCAACAGTTACATAAGAAATCACTTTGGTAAAAGAAATCAGTTTAGTTTAGTTTAGGATCAAAATCTGTGCAGGTGGAAATGGGAACACGTTCCTGTTTCTGTGTCGAGTGCACAATAATGCCTGTCACGAGCTGGAATCGTTGGTGTGTTGCTTCAGCAAAGCTATTCTTAAAACTTCAAATAGAAATAGAAGGGTGGTCTAGGGTTAGCGATGTTGGAATTGGATCAAGCAATATCAGCTGAACATACAACAGACTGACAAATCACGAGTTAAACCACAGAGTACACAGCAGAGGGCCCAAAGGAAAACAGGCTCCCAAAATACTTATAGCCCCATTGCACCGTTGTGATTCACTCATTTTAAATAATTTATTAAATGATTATTACATTTATAATTCAATATGATTGTGGTCTTTACCAGCCTACACATATATACATGTGCTGTATAAAATGTAATTTTATTATATTTATCACATGCTACCATTATTCCCTCCACATGTATCTTCTTATGTATCTCTGACATTTGTTTGTCTGTGTGTGTGTGTGTGTTTGTCAGTGTGAGGGTTATCAGGGCCGATGGGTAGAGAGTGTTTACCGGGTCAGTACTGGGACTCCTTGGTGAAAGAATGTATGAACTGTAGTAAGATATGCCAGCAAGCACATATCAGCTCCAGATGCACCAGTTACTGTGGTAAGTACACACACACACACACACACACACACACTTGGTATTGGTAACAACAGGATCACCAATTACAAAACTAAAAGGACAGGATTAGTGAATTCATTTCATCATATGTCCATCACTTCTTCTGATTGCTGTCTCACTGTGCGTCATCCTGCTTCAGAGTATGCAAATTGTAAGGCACTGCCTGGCCACTTCTATGATGGGCTGCTGAAGAAATGTATGAGGTGCGCCGAGCTTTGTGGCAGACATCCAGCAGAATGCTCCCAGCACTGCTCGAGTGAGTATTGACCCCTAAAAACTACCTAAAAACAGATGCTACTTTACAGCGGGATGAAGGATGTTTGGTTTGTGTAGGTGGATACCAAAGAGGATTGGTGGATGTACTATGGTAAGTAAGTAAGTAAGTAAAGTTTATTTATAAAGCGCTTTTCTCAGATAAAATCACAAAGTGCTGTACAAAAGAGTAAATAAAAACAAACAGTATAAAATGTATATAAATATATAAAATTAAAATGACACTAGTGAAAACCCATCAACCAAAAGCCTTCTTAAATAGATATGTTTTCAGATCCTTTTTAAAAGAGACAACAGTGTCTGCCAGACGCATGGACAGGGGAAGAGTCCACAGTCTGGGAGCAACAGACTGAAATGACATGTCCCGTCGGGTCTTATAACGGGTCTTAGGGACTGCAAGTAGGTTCTGGCCAGAGGACCGAAGAGAGCAGTCAGGGGAACACGGCTTCAAAAGGTCCAGGATGTAATGTGGGGCCTGACCATTTAAGGCTCTGAAAGTCAGCACTAAAATCTTAAAATCAATCCTGAATTTTACAGGGAATGGGAAAGACTGGTGTAATATGAGAACTTCGAGGCGCACCTGTTGAAAGTCTAGCAGCAGAATTTTGAACAATTTGCAATTTCTTCAAAGCAGACTTATTCAGACAAGTAAAACAGCGTTGCAGTAGTCGAGTCTTGTCGATATGAAAGCGTGAATTATCATTTCCAGATCCTTCTTTGACAACATTTTGCGGATTTTAGAGATGTTCCTAAGGTGAAAAAAGCAATTTCGAACGAGCTGTTTTGAGTGTGTCTCCAGGGCCATGGCCTGGTCAAACACAACCCCCAGGTTTCTGAGGCTGGATATGACAGAAGGGCCCAGAGAGCCAAGGTGCTGTTTGATCAGCGGGATCTTATGGTTTGATGGAGGACACACACTCTAGAAACAGAGGCAAACGATGAAACTCAGCATCATTAAAAGAACAATACAAATGAACATCGTCAGCGTAGAAATGGTATGATACATCCTTGAAACAGCCGATAATTTGACCAAGTGGCAAAATGTACATTAAAAACAAAATAGGGCCCAAAACTGAACCTTGTGACACTCCGCAGGACAAATTGGTCACCTCAGACTGTACATTACTTACAGCAACATTAAAGGTTCTGTCATGAATATAGGAAGAGAACCACTGAAGGACAGATCCTGATAGTCCCATCTCATTATGAAGCCGACTGATCAATATATCGTGATCCACAGTGTCAAAAGCCGAAGTCAAATCCAGAAGCACAAGTACAGTGTAGCGGCTAGAGTCTGCTGTCATCATCACATCGCTAGAGACTTTGATAAGAGCTGTTTCAGTAGAGTGTGATTTTCGAAAGCCAGATTGAAAAGTATCAAACAAGTTGTGCTGCTCCATAAAGGAGGTCAGCTGGCATGACACTACTTTTTCCAAAATTTTGGAGACAAATGGAAGTTTAGATATGGGCCTGTAGTTTTTAGGTTCTGAAGGGTCAAGATTGGGCTTTTTAAGGATCGGATTCACCACAGCGTGTTTGAAGTAGTTGGGAACTGAGCCAGATTTAACTGACAGATTTATTATTTTTTCCACACAGGGGCCCGACGATATCAAATATTTTCAAAAATAGATTCGTTGGGACAATGTCAGCAGGGCTTGAAGACGGTTTCATATTACTTGTTATGGTCTTCACATCCTGTAAGCTGACAGGAGTGAAGGACGACCAAGACGACACCGGTGAGGGCTCAATAAAACAACCACGAATGAGTGGAGGATTAACACTGGCCCTAACTTTGTTCAAGAAAAACATCAAAAAGTTGTTACAGTCCTCGTGTGTGTACACAGGCACAAGAGGAGCTGGGGGTGCAGTAAGCTTTTCAATGGTGTTAAACAAGATTTTTTGGAGAAAGCGAGTAGTTGATGCCCCCAGGAGGCCTACATGTCGGGGTAAAAGCACCATCAACCATGAGCCACAATATTACCAGTTTTCATTTGGATGCGGACCTTTGTTGTGTGGCACTCTTTAAATCTTAGCCGTTTAGCATCTCAAAATCTTTGTTTGAATGTCTGAATGTCTAAATATGTTGAGGTTGTACACTAGAGTATATGTTTGTAGTAACCAGACCTTGACGAGGTTTTCACCGTGGCATAAGTCCAGTGGAATATCCCTTGGTATCTAGAAGCAGTCAATCAAAAACAACAGTATTTGCTATTTCATCTTAAGAAGCCATAACAGATATATTCTTCCCTTCTATCCCCCCAGTTCCCTCACACGTGCCAGGGACGGTAGTACCGACAGCCCTGGAGGAGTCCAGTATTCTGCTCTACTCCCTGCTGGCCCTATCAATGGTGCTGCTGTTTTCTAGCTTGGCTCTAGCCATGGCTGTCTTGCTGAAGAGGTCCAGGGCCAAAACCTCCAACTTAAGAACCAAGGAGGCTGACCACAAACAAGAGTCTGTTGTCCAGCCAGGCCAGGAGGTTGGCCAGTCGGGGTACTATGCCTCAGGTAAGTGTGGTACGGATACAAATCAAAGGCCCACATTAGTGCAATAAATAGTTTAGTCAAGTAGCAAAATTATGTTCAGCAGTGAATTTGAAAACTCCTGTCTCTCAAAAATTGCAGTTGAAAAACACCCTAGCATCTTTTTCATATATTTCTGCTCCAATGTGTCTTTCTACAGATTTTGTTACAAATTCAAGCCGTCTCACTGACCGCGAGCCATCAGATGAATGCAGCCCTACTGAGACCTGTGTGTGTGTCCACTGTTTCCCTGATCTGAAAGCACTAGGGCAGGGCAATGACAGGCTACACAGAGCGCCCTTTTCATTATACTCGCCTCCTTTCCTCCAAAGAGCCCAGATGCAAAAGGAAGACCCCCTTTGGACTCAGGTGGACCTATACACCGATGGAATGGAGGTGCATGAGGAGGCTGCAGTGGGATGAGGCTTATTTGCTTCCTTACAGGACAACTGAAATTGTCCCCAGCTCATAGGAGAAGATGGTCAGAGTAGTGGATTTTCCGTCAGACTGTAGATGTCATGACAAAGGTTTTGGACTGTGAAACTGAAAAAAAAAAAAAAAACGTGTTAAAAGGGGTGCTTGCTCAATGTTGGTGCCCTGACATTGCTTCATGACTTCTGTTAAACTGTCAAACATCGACTACTAACATGCATGTCTGGTCTAGTAGTGTTCATAATCCAAAAAACAAAAAAAAAAAAAAAAAAAAATGCAAATCAAAAACAACCAAATTACAACCAATCTTCCATCTGTTTAGATGCCAATGAATTTCATCAAATAAACTTGTCATATGAATTGAAGAAATCGAGAATACAAATTCGGAGTATTTGCATGATAAAAAGTTACTACTATCACTAGTAAAGTTTTGCTTTTTGTTTAAATCCACAATCCTTTAATTGTGGAAGAACGAAGTCAAGGTGGAGGAGAACAAGCTCCCACAGCTCTCTCTCACTGACTGCATGCAAGCTAAAAGGGTCATGAAAAAGACCGACTAGCTTCAGGAGCACAACAGGTCATGGTCACCCACACAAGCTCAACGACAACAGCATATGATTGCTAACTGTCATCTTGCTGTGTCAGTTCTCCTGTAAATAATCAGTCGTGCTTTTTGGTTTGATACCACAACTGAGAGTCGACAAAGTCAAATGTTCAGGTCCTACTGATTCCTCATTGAGGCTAGAAGTCTGCAATCAAAATGTAAATGCAGGGGCAGAGGCATGAGCTCATTCTGGGCAGTTACTATCTGCAGAAAATATATAATTAATCATCTTTATTTGTCCACAAATGTGGAAATTTGCCTTTGGCTTTTCTGGTGGGTTAAAACACCATCATAGAAAATTCTTTGTGTTCCATTGTGAATGGTGCTGGAATTTAGCAAGGTTTTTGCCTTTTGTACAAGACTTTCTCTAAAATGTTCTGGCTTACATCGTTTTAATCCAACTTCCTGATTAGATACGAGCTCTGCACTTCTTTTTAAAACATTTATAGTGTTGGCTGTAAAAAAAAAAAAAAAAGTGCAATCAAAACAGGTTGCTAAGTATTTAAACTCTTCTAACGCGTCAACGGACTGATCATTAATCAAAACAGGAGGAAAATAATGACTCACAATAACCAGCTCCTTAGTCTCGCTTTCATCAAGGGCGCTGTCTTCTCCCTACTTGGTGAGCTAACCAAAAAACTGTGCAAATACGAAGACTGAGTAACTGTGTTCCCTGTCTGCATGTGACCAACTAATGCCATATATATAATACCACCAGTATATGTACTGCCACAGATATGTACAATATATCTATGTAAATTGTGTGTACTGCAGGTCGTCAGCTCACGCACCATCGGTCACAGACATATCTGCTAGTGAGGGCGTACGGGTGTCCTCGTCTCTGCTGGGCATGATAGAATGGTATTATTTGACATGGGAAAGATTTCTTCACTACATTAACAGACAACCCTTCCACACACACACGGTTTCTTTTCAACTATTATCTTTTGTGTATTTTGTCTTTTTTACTAGTTAATGTCTTAGTCCCTTTTTTGCCCCCCCCCCCTGTTTAATGTTTTATTTTATTCCTTTGTCTTTATAAAATTAAATAAAATGTCAATCATGAAAAAATGACTTCTGTGGACAGTGTTGTACATGTATATATTCTTAGGCTGATGGTTCATATGATGATCCAGAATCTCCTCGTATTCTTTGCCACGAATAAGGAAAAATAAAAACTTCATATTGAAAACTATAAACATACAGACAGCTGTTCAAAACTGTGTTCAACAAAAATAAATCTCATTTTACGTAAAAAAGACAGGCAGAAGCAAAGTGTGTACAGATATAGATATTTCTTTATTTGAGTGTCTTTCAATCACTGTGTCCAGTTCTTGCAGCAGTTACGTTTGTGTGTGCGAGGAATGACTGACTAGGTCCAGACAAGTCTCTTCTGATCCCCCCCCTCCCCCCGTCCCGGATCCAGCAATATAGAAGAACAAAATGTTTGACTTTGAGGTTTCACCATTTGTCTCTTACATACAAACTGTACATATATACTTTTACATACATCATCAACATGTGGAAAGAATCCTATCAAACTGTGATACCCAGCTCAGACGGCATGCTGAATGCAAGTACTGATTCAGTACACGAACATACGCTATATATGCACGCGCACGACACACGTGCATACAAACAGGGACACACACGCACTTTTTTTTTGTCTCTTTTCACGCACTAACACATTTTATACAAACACACCAACGCTGAGCTTTTTACACCCCTCCCCCTTCCTCGGGCGCATACACATGCACACCCACAATCACACACACACATACAAACACACAGAATTAGAGCAACATGCAGCCGACGGTTAACACTGCAGGATCGAGCTTCTGACCCATTATACACACTGTTTTGAGAATAACACTCTGCTCCATTTCTTCTTTTGCCATTTACCTGAAACGTCATCATGACAACGTATCTTGAACATGGAGAATATGCCTCTGTACTGGCAAAAACTGTGACAAAATGTAGCCGAACTAAGCTTGAAAAACAAAAACATTCAACATAAAAAATTTAAAAAATAAAAATAAAAAATGAAGCCACCGTAGCAGCAGTTTCGTGAACATGATCAGCACTATTTAGCCATTTCTTTTTTTGTGTACAACAAACTATGATTGACGGCACAATGTAACACAGGCAGAAATGTGCGAGTTTAAGGAGAATGCAAAACCGTAAACAAACGTTTTAATTGCAGTATGTATAAAAATATAATATTCACCGTGCCCTTTATTTCCCCCTCTGTTGGAAGCAGCATGAGAGGCAGAAAATCACAGATCCTTTGTGTCCTCATCCTTGAAAGAAGATGTTTCTTAAACGTACGTGACTGACAGCTACAGACTCACGAGTAATGAATGGAATTAACTGTCGCTCTATACAATGTTCATAATACTTCATTTGTCAGGTGATTTTTTTTTCTCCCCCCATTCTTCGCATTCGGAACTAGAATGCATAATAAGACAACTTCCCGCCTTGATATTTTTGGTCGTTTGGAGCAGTGTGGGTGAGTTAAACAAGTGTGCTTGTGTCCAAAAAAGTTGCCAGTTTAGGTAAAGGGAATGAAAAACAAAACATTTTCTGCGCTATAGCAAGAGCCGCGGACCCCCTTGGAAGGCCGCGACTCTTCAGGTGTCGCTAAACGCATATGTGAGAGCACGAAACAGGACGTTGGTGAAGAACAGCATTTGTGATCAAGACACCCCCCCCCAAAAATAAATCTGTCAGACACAGAGAAAAAAAGTAGGGATACGACACTATTCCTCTATTTTATGAGAGCAAGTACAGACTGATTCTGTAGTTCTTTTGACAGATTATCACAGGTGCTTTCTTCTTCATCCCCTGAATTCAAGTGAAAAACGTATGCAAGTGCGTTATTTTCCTTCAGGGCCCATTCAAATTTCTTGCATTTTGTTAGTTTCTTGCACTTTTGCACTATCCTGCAGAGCAGACAGTTCTTTGTTGAATGCCGTATGGTGGAACTAGACTGGTATGTAGTAAGGATGGTTCCATGTTCGAGTGAGAGTTGCAACTTAAGAGTGATTCAGGTAGGCTCGTGTTTGTGTTTCCATGCCTCTCTCCTCACTCTGTTACCTTTTTCCCCATGCAACTAATCCTTACACCATCCCTCGTCTCCTCCTGCAGGCTGCGGATGCTAACGGAGGGAACTATTCGTACTCCAGGAACTGTTTGTGGTAAAACAAAAGGTACCTGGGGAGATAAAAAAGTACCATGAGGTCATCACTGATAAGGGCGCAGTCTCTTTCAAACAGCTATTATAAGCACAAAACATCCACATACAGCTTCAGCATGAGGCACTATGCTCAACGCTATGACTTGCTCACCCCTCGCTATCCAGGACGTCCTTGATGCTGGCCTTGGTGATAATGGCATCGTCGCATTTGAACCACTGGTCCTTCTGCTGGCGGATGAAGGTGGTGTAATGGCCGCTCTCTAGTGTCCCCTGGTGGTTCACCACTGCAAATAAGCTATACCTGATTCAGACAGACAGACAGACAGACAGACAGACAGAGAGAGAGAGAGAGAGAGAGAGAGAGAGAGAGAGAGAGAGAGAGACAAAGAGGCTTAATGCTTAATGAGGCTTAAACCAACGACCAACAACTGATACACCTTGGTAAATAAAGCTTAAAGATCTTTACAAGACACAAAGTAGAGATGAACAACATGGTGTTTCTGTGGTGCACTCTCCCCAGTGAAGTGAATGAAAAAAAAAAAAAAAATTCAGGTGACAGAGTGACAATAAAGTGGTTACTTTAGGAATATTTGGAACCTGTGCTGGTTCAGATACTGGCTTATTACAGATGTTTGCCGTACTTGTTGTCATTGTTGAAGGGGTCCACGGTCTGCTGGTACTGCCCGTTCATCCGGCTTTCTTTGCTGAAACACACACACACAGCAGAATGTTAGCTGCAACAACATAAACTGGTGTGTTTGTCTTACAATGCAAAACAAAACAAGGAAACAATTTACTGCGACGTGTTTTGTGCTTCTTAGCATTCTCTGCATTTCTGTATTTGTATTAGTATACCAGTGTGCACATATATGTCTCCAGTATTGAGTTAAACAAATACAAATGCATTATGTGGATGTGATCAGATTATGCACTCTGAACAGATACGAAGCATCCAAATATTTGGATACACATTGATTAAATTATCAATCAAGATCTCGGATATTCATCAAGGACAAACGTGCATAATATCTGGTATTAGCTGTCTTCATTTGGATTGTCACCTTGAGGCCATGAAGGGGGTCATGTCCAGCTCCAACGGGAAGGAGACGTAGGTTGTGATCTTCCGCCGCAGTTTGGCTGAATGCTCAAACCTCTGAAGGCCAACAAAGGAATGAGTGTTAGAACAGCGCTCTCAAGAGCAAAAGCCGCTAAATTAGCAGTCCAACCATCAAACCCGCGCTCTTACTTTGAGGTGAAAGCAGGCCACGATGGGCAGCTTCTTCATGGTCAGCTGCTTGGTGGACTCCTGGTAACTATGGCAACCGCTGCACTTGATCTTAGCGCTGCTGCCGAGGTGCTCTGGCCTGGTGAACCTAGACGGGAGAGGATGAAATTTGGGTCCAATGAGTTTGTGTCTATGTGTGTGTGGGTGCCTTTATCCTTGAAGTCTCCTGTGAATTTGGGAAGAACAGGAATTAGTTTTCATGTGTGTTTGTGTGTGTGTGTGTTGCTTTTCTCTGAAGGGTTTTGGTGTGATGCGTCTGGGAAGTGGTTTTACACCATTTATGTCTCTGAATTCGTCAGTGCATGCATGCGTTTATTTCAGTTTCGGATACAAAATGCTGCACTGCTTACTTCCATTTTGGTACTGCAGAGAAGGAGGGAGTTTATCAAAAATGATATAATAAATATTGTCATATAGTCAGTCACCTGCGTAGACAGTCCGTGAGCGTCGTGGCTCCAGTGGTGTGACTCTCTCCATTAAGTGCTGATCCGTCTCCCCCGGGGCTGAGGGGCCAGAATGGGGTGGAGGAGCCTGGCAGGTCCAGGCTGATGTCCCAGAACGGGTCTATGGTTGTCGAAACACCACTAGGAGGAACACAGAGAGACGCATGAGATGGTGAGTCTGCATGGGGAGATGAAAACGCTGCAGATATCTAATGTAGATTCAAGGAGTTGCTGTGTGTTGATTTGTACATCTTCCAGTCGGTTACCCACGTCATAGGCGGTACAGCAAGACACTGCACTTTGTAGTTTTCCTTTATTCAGATAGACATATAAGTGAGAGGGAGACAAAAGAGGGAGATAGTAAGAGTTCTGGCATCAGCTACATCTTGGCACCGTGGCTTAGACTCTTGCACTCCTAATGTTGGCAGCTAAACTCGTTCATCTGTGCGATGAAGATAATTCTGCTGCTGAACATCATTGGGAGGCGCACGTTGCAGCTTAGTGCTGGCACTTAAGGATATAAAAGAAATGATATCGGCTGACGGCGTTCTTGAACTGAGAACATTTGGGTGGAGACCATCTTTTCTAAAGGACGCCCTTCCCTACCATCAAGCATTTCTTTAAACCGCCTCTCTAGTGCGGGGCTGCAGAGGGTTGGAGCCTGTTCCAGCGCACATTAGACAACACCCCCCCGCCCACATTCGTATCTCCAGGCGGTTTGAAGTCTGCAAATCACTGATCCTACATGTCTCCAACAGTAGGAGGAAACCAGAGCATCCAGATGAAACCCACACAGCTGCATGGAGAGCACGCAAAGTCCACACGGAAAGGCCTCCCCCTGCAGATGGATTCAAACCCACGAACCTCTGGCTTGTGACACTGTTATCCACTGAGCCACCACCCAGATCCCAAAAGATACCTGAACAGAGTAAAACTGTTCAATTAAGAACCATTGAGAAGATATTCCCATTCGTGTCTTTCAAACCACTTCAACAAACCATCCGCCGTTTTGATTGCTCCTGTTTCCACTACTGCAATCCACTGACTTCATGTTAAACTCAAGAAGCTGTAGCACAATTACAATTAGTCCAAAGTTCTGCTGCAGGATTGCTAACTAAAACTCTGCAGCGTTGCCATATTACCTCGCTGCTGCTTTCACTACACAGGCTTCCTGTAAAGTATAGGATAGAATTCAAAATCCTTCGAATTAATTCTAAGGGAAAGCACAATTTGGCTACAACACGCAGTGAGTTGCTGATCCCATACAGGTCTGCTAGGCCTTTAAGTACAAGGGGTTCTGGTTCTGCCCTCCTCAAAGCTCAAGACTCGCGCTAACAAAGCTTTTGTCTCCCTCTGGGGGTTAGACCAGCTTACTTTGTCGAGTGTTTTAAATCTCATCTAAAGAATGATTTATTCTCAGAAGCGTTTTTTTGTTGCTTCCTGGCCTTGACTTGTTCTTATGCGTTTACCATTTCTGCTCGTCTTTGCTCTGAATATGTATTCAAATGCTTTTCATTGTTGTTTCTGTAACTTTGAAGCACCATGTAATCCTGGTTTTGAAAAACTCTAAAATAAAGTTTTTAAAAAAAAGTAATACATACAAAGTACAGGTTATTACTTTTTCATGTAGAGGACAAACAGGTGTTTAGATTCACAGTCTACAGAACTTCCCCATGTCTTCATTGACTGTGGGAACTGGATTTAAATTAGAACCCGCTTATCAGTTTGTTAAAAACATCTGATAAGTGAGAGTCTTCTTTTAGCAGCTACAACTGCTTACAAGGAATGTAACATGAATGATAATAAATTATGATGGTTGTTATATCCAGTGCTTTAGCATTCGGAAACAGCGTGTTCAGTTACAGTAATGGTTAGCTGTCATTCATTCTTAAGTGTCCTTTTTTCCATATTAACTTGCACCACCACACTGTTAACATAACTTACATTTACGACAAATCCTATCCAAATAATATGGTATGTGAATATCGTTGCAAGGGAATCAGTTGTCTTTGAGATCGTCAGCTGTCGCAGGTCATGGTGGCCCTCTCAAACACAGGAGTGCTCCAGGACGAAGAAAACAAGGGATGGACATCACTGCTCCAAAATCTGTACATACCTGGTTCACCAGAAGGTTTATGTTTATTTAAATGTCTACTAAACCACATGCCAGAGGAAAGTTACGCACTTTTTACTGTGTATTTTCAATTTTAGAGTTAGAGAGTAGACAGTTATTCTGCCAAACTTTTTTTCAAAAGTTATTGATTCAAGTTGATTTCATAGGAAACTGGTTAATCTACCGAAACTGTGTAGATTTGATTATTTTGACAAAAAAAATGTAATCACGAATCAGTAACTAATCATCTTACTTTGTAAGATGGGGAACTTTTTGTAGAACTATGATCATCAAACAAAGAAGTTCAAATGAGTCCAGCTCCAACATCTAAATGCTGCTTACAGGTGAACGCATAGATCATTTGTATCTAATAACACATGGATAACACTATCAAAACTGGTCATTCTGCATAATAACTAATTTTACTTTTGGTGGGTTCTATTTTTGATGAGGGACTTACAGTGTGTTAGTGATACCTTTGCTTGAAAAAGTATCTCTGTACTTCTTCTGCCACTTCAACTGACTGAAAATAAAAGTTATAATTTAAAAAGTGAATCATATGTTGCTGGTAAATTCCTAAATGTCTTAAATGCATCTCACGAGCACCGGCGTCTGATGCTTTCTTTGACCACCAGGTGGAACTAGAGATCAACTTTACACACTGCACATGTACGCCATGAAAGGGTCTTCTTGTTGCTGCAGTGTGCCAGTTCAGTGTGTGTGTGTGTGTGTGTGTGCGTGTGATTGACGGTGCACTCTGTGAATGATGGAGGAGAGGGGAGGCGGGAGGGGTCGCCTCGGGGCACGGAATTAGAGGGTTCTGATCCGGGCTGGTGAGAAACAAGTGAAGTGTGTCATTGTTCAGCGGCTGTTCGTTCAAGACAGTAAAAGCCAGGCGCACTGTAACATAGTGGAACAGTGCTGTATGACAATGCCGTGGCGTACAAGGTCGTGGCTTTGCTCTGTTTGCTTTCATCTCTTTTTACAGTCTCTGGTGATGCCGAAAAGGTTTTTCGTGTTGCGTTTTTTCTTTTGGAAGAGACCTCAAGCACAAGCCCCACTTACTGGCAGACTTGACAGGTGACGTCAGACTGCAGGCCCCCTGTGAAGATTTGGTCGATGATGCAGTTGCAGTGGTTGGGGTTGTTGGCTTTCTTCCCGTTGTCGTCTGTGTGGATAGAAATGCACACACACACACACACACACACACACACACACACACACACACACACACACACACACAGTCACTAAAAGCAATGCTGTGTAACTTCACAGCCACACTCTCTGCAGGGACACACACAAGGATCCAGGAGAGATCAGTGCTGTGTCTCTCCATCTCTCTGTCAGCCAGTGCATCTCTCTCTTCTCTTTTCATCCTCTAAACTCCACTCATCCAATCGTTCCAACCAGCTCACCCCCCACTCAGCTAAGAGCTTCCTCTCTGTCAGTATTCCTGTGTTTTCCGCCTCCCTCACACCTGTCTCTCGTCATTTGTCTCTACATATTTATCTTGTTTCCTGCATCTCTGTGTGAATGTGCGCCCCGACCTTTGCAGTGTCGGTGCAGGACGTCCAGCGCTGCGATGAGGAACTCGTGGGCGTCCTGCTGCTCGTAGCCGGCAAGGTGACGGGCGTGAGTCCACACCAGGTGAAGAAGACGGAAGGGGATGTGTGGCGACCGATGGCCTGAGTAGAACTGGAGAAAGGAGGAGTGTGTATGTGTGAGAGAGAAAAAAAACGCTTCTTCTGCTCATTTGAACACACAAAAAAAAGGGAGAGAGTTACCTCCTGGAAGAGTTGCGACATCTCACACACCAAACAGGAGTTGCTCTGCATCTCACATTTGTGCCGGTCGGACAGGAAGAAGTCGCGTAACAGCGGGGTGTGTGTCAGCGCCTGGACAATGCAGTTCATGAAGCATGTGTTGCCCAGGTTTATCAGACCTCGCAGGCCTGAGGGAAAAGGGAGGACATTGAGAAAGCCAGATCATTTTCTTGGCTGCTGCGGTGGGGCATCTGGGGCATCTAAGCTGCAATGCTGTTAGGGGTAGACACACACACACTCATGCCCGTGAAGCCCTTGAGGCAATGCAGGGAAACCCTTGCGACCCAAATCACACAGACACAGACAACGGGAGAGGGAGGAGAAGAAAAGCGGGTGAGAAGGTGGAAGGACAGAAGGAAAAGGAAAGACGACAGAGGAGGAGGGAGAGGAAGGCAGGATGGAGGTAGTGTTCTCACAGATGAGCAGCCAGGCCTGTAATTTCCTTCACCTAAGACAGTGCCAGGGATGTTAATGATGCTAGAGCTCATCCCTGCAGGCTGCTACAAGGTGTTAAACGTATGCCAGCTCTCCTCACTCCCACTCCCTCATTCTGGTATTCCTATGCTGCTTCAAATATATTCTGCTGCTTTTTCTCTGAAGACAGTAAATGACTTTATATTCACAGACAGATGCAGGTCTTCATACAGGATTTACTGCAGTCTCAAGTAGGGCTGCAACTCATGTTTTCTTTCTTGACCAATTAATCTTTTTTTTTTGTCTTCCCAGAGCCCAACGTGACTTCATCAAATTATTTGCTTGGCCTGAGCAACAGTCCAACACCAATCAGAAAACCAGCAAATCCTTAAATGTTTGGAGCTTGAAACAAAGATTGAATCAAGGGCAACTGGCTTGGTTGAAGATACTTAAAGATATTTCGCCTCTCGTCCAAGGGGCTTCTCCAATTCTAACTGGCAGGGAGTCCCAGCTGCTTAACCTCTGTGGGTCCATTATCATATTTTGGATAGGGAGGGACAGATGGTTTGAAAAAGGAGTAAAGGAAGTCATTAATACCAAAGTGGAGAGAGCATCTCTAAAACGGGGGAGGTCTGCAACACCACTTATCCCCTACCTACAAGGCTGTCCTTTCACAAAATTAAAAAGCTGGCTGATTAGAGAGGATACATTTTTCTGGAAGCTTGAAGTAAATGCCCTCTGGGAGGAGATTTAAACTTGTTTTAAATCTGAACAGGTTACAATTTGACTCTTGAATGTCAAACACTTCAGGGCACATTAAGTTTTTCCCTTATGGTTTTCTTTGTATTTATTTTATTATTTTATTATGTTTAGGTTATTAAAATCCTGAGCTTATCATTAATATTTAGTGTACCTTGTTTGTTTTATTTATATGTTGGTTTTATTAGTTTGTCGTGTTAAATGTACTGCCTGTGCTGCAGTGTGAGCTCAAAAAGGTATGTTCCTTTTAACAACTGTTGTAACTGTTGTAATCTAGTTGTACAATAATATAACAGTATTTTGAGATCTGACCCTACTTCACCCCGACGACACCCACACAAATGTAGAGTATAATAATGCATGTACACCAAAATCATCTGTGGATAAGCAAACAATACATTTCAACAATATAACAGCTCAACTAGATCACTCTTATGTCACCAAACAGGCAGCGGAGAGAGAGATGACGGAGCTGCTTCATCTTTCTACATTTTCACGTGATCCTCCCTCAGATCTGCATTCTGTCCCTCTCTCTGGAACGAAGCGTTTGGCCCAGATTGACATCGAGCTCTTTGCAGCTACACGGGCATCGTCTCTAACACTGCTGTGTGTGAGCTGAGAGACGAAAAGAGATACTGACCAATAGTACAGTTGGAAGTGATTCTCCTCCTCTTGGGGTTGTGGCGGAGGAGCTCTAGCTCCCTCTTGGTGGGCTCCCACGTTGAGTACTTCTCCCCTATACCTGGAACACACAACACACACACACACCACACACACACACACACACACACAAAAGAGGATTGCATGCTTCCCTCTTCTCCCCTTTTCTAACTTTGGGGAAGACATGTTCTTGCCAATATCTAGGTAATAATGCCTCAGATTATTGTGACAGAATGTTGAAATTCCATGTTTTGAGTAACACTTGGTGTAACACTCATGGGGAGACATCATACAACTTTTGGCATGGTGTGTGTGTGTGTGTGTGTGTGTGTGTCACAGCTGTGTGTGTTTAGCGCCATCATACCTTGCATTTTCCAGGCTTTCCTCTGTTCTTCTTTGGCAATCTGTTCCATGTCTTTGTCATAAATGTAGTCTTGGCACATAAAACAGTAAATTCCTCCATACAGCAGGTCAATCGCTAGAGAGGCGGTGGAGGACAAGGGGAAGAGAAGGGAAAAGAAGAAAGCATGAGAAAGCCGTTCTGTTCAAATGCAGGGACGGATGAGTTTATCCGTTTGCCAGAGGGTAAAAAAGGGCTGTGCGTCGGCACGGGCTTTTCAACTGCTGACTGCTTCATCGCTCGAGTCTTCTTCTATTCAGGCCACGTTGCCATGGCGTCGCGATGCCAGGTAACCGGGGCTTATCTGCTGACATATCAGTTATCTGTTAACACCATCCAGGAACAATCAGAGACACCTCGGGGAGACGGAGAGAGCAGTGAGGAGTCAAAAGGTGAGGAGAAGGGACGGGAGAGATCACGCAATCTCTCGCAGTCACACACACCCGCTTCAAACAAAGACTCAAAGTGTCCGTCCACACCTGCTCTGTACACTGTAGCTACCTGTTTGCTGTTGCTATAACAACCTGCCCGTCGGCTTCTGCCAGCTGTCATCCTCTGCAGGTACGACGGGAGGAAGAAAAAGGACGCAGGAGGAGGAAGAGGTAAGGAAGGGAGGAAATATGAAATTTCACTGAATTTGACAGGAGAGAGAGCAAAAGGAGAAAAAGACAGCGAGAGAGACGAGGCTTAGGGTACACGTGCGATTAGATGTAATCCCTGGACAATTCTGAATATCGAAAGGGCCATCAGGTAACCATGGGAACAAGAGGAGGCCAAAAAGAGAAAAGGATAGAGACGGAGATGAGCCCAATACAAGGCTGCAAACATGCACTGACCAAATAGCTCTGAGGGAAAATGCATGAAACAGTTAGATGAAAGAGATGGAACGGCAAAAGAGAAAGGAGGAGAAGCAGGAAGGAGGAGGGGCCGGCTGTTAATGGAGGCTAATTCCACAGGGTTTTTTAAAGACGTCTTAATTACCTCCTTACCAGTCTGCTGAGATCTGTCCCTTTTAAAAAAAAAATAAAAAATCTTCTCTTTCTCTGTATTAGATCTTCACTTGATTTTTTTTGCAGCATTATGTCATCAGCTAACCTAATTAAACTCACAATTACACAAATACAAACACACACACACACACACCAGAGGGGGGGTTTCCTGAGCTGAGCGATAACGCAGAGCAAAAAAGGAGGCTTCTTAACAAGACCAATCGGCAATTCTCAACATCTGCCAAACCAGCTTTTGTGATGGACACCCCGAGTGTCTTTGCTGCGGCACTGCGCTCCTCCAAACACTGCAGTGCAACATACTTCACAACAGCCTGATTCTATTATGTGGAGTGAAACAGAAAGCTACTGGGTATCGCAGCATTTAGTCTAGCAGGATGACGCCTTATGCTAAAGATCATATGCTGTTTACGGGATCTTGTGTTTCCTCCAAAGTCTATAATAATATCTAATCTAATAAAAAAAGGTTTGTACAAAAAGCTTACTCCATCAGACTCAGCCACCACTTTATTTTAACTGGATACTTTTACTTGGATACTGATACAAATATTAGAGAGTTTAAACATTCGGGATAGATAGCTAATACATGATGTATTAGCAGATTTTCTTCTTCTTCTTCTTTTTTTATTTATTTAAAACACATAACCTTTAAGTGTTGTTAATGAAGAACTGACCTGGAAATTTTCCAGATGAAAAAATAACCTGTCAGTATGTATACTGTGTGATGGAGACACCTTTGTTTATGACAGGACAGTTGAGAGAGACAGGAAATGTGTAGCAGAGAGAGAGAGAGGATGGTATGGGGTGAAGGGCCTTGGATCTGACTCAAACCTGGGCCGCTGCAGCAAGGACTCAGTCTTTGTACATTGAGTGTTCGCTCTAGCAGTGAGCTATCTGGCGCCCACTGGAGACACTATTTCTAAATATTCATTAAACTAATATTTAGAATTTTTGTAGTGCAATATTTTGTTACGTAAAGGCTGACATGTACATTGATAGCGATATCTGCAGTAAGCTAATTAGAACTTCCATGATTAGTCGATTTACTGTCAACTATTAAATTAATTGCCAACTATTTTATACTATCAGTTATCAGCATTTTGAGGGGTCTTTTCTGGTTTCTTAGGTCCCTATTTGACAGTAAACTGAATATCTCTGGGTTGTGGCCAAAATGAGACATTTGGAGACGTCATCTTGGGCTTTGGGAAACACTCAACCATTTATCACCATTTTCTGACATCAGTCAAACTACTCGATTAATCGAGAAAATGTTTGACAGATGAATCGATAAAGAAAATAATCATTAGTTGCAGCCTGAAAGCCAATATCGTATGCATCATCTATTCAAATCAATGAAATCTTTGGCTACAACCTCGCCCCTGCCTTCGACTCTGCTTCACCTCTGCAACACCACTGTATCTAATGTGGTGACTATTGTGCAATATGTACATGCTTGTTGTTGTGAAATACTAAACTTTATGTCATTATACACTGTACACTTTAATACTGTCTATATATGGAAGCCCTAAGCGGTCATCCATTTTTTCCCTTCGTTTTAAAGCGATAACTTCCTCGAGATCTCAAAATAACAAAACACTAGTTTAAGATGGGTCGGCAGGTGCATTTCTTAAGAAAAATTTCAGGTCTGCTTACTGTGTCTGTGGTTACTTCAGTTGGTAGAGAACAGGACCCGCAACCAAGGTTGTGTGTTCTATTCCCATACTGGATGATTAAAAAAAAAAAATTATATTCTTCAACAAAGTTCTTACAAGGAGATTCAGGGGAAGCCAATCAAACATTACCTGACAGCTGTTTCAGAGGTGAACCTATGAAATAGCCGTCAGGAAATGGGTGATTGGATTCCCCTGAATGCAAAGCGCAGGAATTTCCTCTGCCTTGGGATGGGAAATGAAAAGTCCATAGGTTAATGGATGTGGACCAATCACCGGGACGCACACACTCCAGAAGACAATATAAAAGAAGAAAAAAAATTAATCCAAAGTGGGGATAGAACATGAAACACTTTGACTGCAAGTCCTGCGCTCTACCAACTGAGCCAAGAAGAGACAATGGAAGCAGACCTGAAATTATCCTAAAGAAACTAACCTGCTCACCGCTGTATTAATCTAGTGTTTCGTTATCTTGAGATGTCGAGATAATTATTCTGTTATCACGGAAAAACGAAGTAAAAAAATACGTTTGAATGGACTTTTCTCAGCAATACTTTAGTGATTTGCATGTAATGTTTTGATTATTACAGGCCGTGTGTCCCTGTGGGAGTAGCATGGGACGGGGAAAAACAGCCAACTGTTCATGGTGTTCAGCGAACACCCACGTCTTTGTTCTAATTTAGAGCAGTCCAGATTGTGTCTGTTTGATGCAAACGCTTAATTTGGTCAAGTGGAATACAACTTTCCCCGTTTCTCACCGCGACCGCTCGCCAGCAAAGCAACCTTCAAGCTCAGCTTCTCATTTTAAAAGGAAATCAACACAATCTAACGCAGATTATCAATGAAATCACTAACGTGCCAACGTTTTACGTTACCTTCTCTGACCTGGAATAATAATCCTGTCAAAACAAGGCAGAGGCAAATCTCGTGTGTGTTTATGGGGTAGCACACACACACTAGATTTGCCTCTGCCTTGTTTTGACAGGATTACACACACACACACACACACACACACACACACACACACATACACACACTGAAAATTTTGAAGAATTTTGAAGGAAGCTGATGTGTACCCAATAAAACAGATTCTTTGCATGTGTAAACGTGCTTCATTTTAAAATCAGCCACCAAGACAGACCTCAGTCCCTATTAATTAGTAAGTTCACTAATGCATATATTCCCTCTAATGAGCAACATGGGGCCAAATACACAGGTGACATTCAAATCCCCCTCGAGGCTGAGCCTTTTAGACTGTGTTGCAGTTATGTTGCACTGGCTTGCATAACAGCTCTCTCTGTTGCTCTCGATTATTTTGCTTGATTAAATGCATCACAAAACCACAAATCAGTCAACAGTCAGGCCGGCTGAAAAGACCAACATATTACTAACTTATAGCCGACCCTTAAATATAGACTCGCAGACACATGCGCACGCGCTCTGGTGTTTACGAAACGGCAGCGCTGCATCCAATCACGCCAGGCTATATTTTCATTAGCCACTCAGCCATTTAATTAGCGATTTTATCAGCCTTTGTTTTGAGAGATGCATTAGTGACAGCGTTGTGTATGGGTGTGTGTTTGTGTACATGATGTACTGTGAGAGTGTCTGTTTAGGAGGCTGGGACCAACTCATTTAAGCAAAGGGGGGTAATTGCAGGTCTGCATGCCTGGTGTGATACCATGTGCATAACAGACCCCTCAAAACACACCTGCTCCACCTGCATCTGTGGACACAGTGAATGCCTATGTATGAGTGTTTTTATATACAGTCTATAGTATGTGTGAGTGTGTGTGTGTGTGGGTGCAATACCTAGGTTATGCCTTTTGCTCTTGGCATGCTCGTGGATGTGTTTTTTGGCAAAGCAGGCGAAGAAGACGCAGTAGAGGCAGGAGTGGAGTCTGTTGAGGTGGGCGCCACACATGTGGCAGATACATGACTTGGCCTGGAAGAGAGGGGGAGGGGGGAGAGGAAAGGAAACAGAGAGAGGAAGATGCATTAACACAGAGAAACAAAGGAAAAGATCATTAAATTTTTTGCTCCACCAGACACATATTTGCTACTGTATCAGTGTAATCAGTAGCTCTGGTTTTATCAAGCTCATGTTAGGAAATACCATAAAACTTCAATTAATAGCCTGGGCTTGTATTTCTGACTTTACGACCACTTCAGAGGTAGGGAGACCACTTCTTTTTTCTCTTGTTTACCATACAAATCTGTGTAGCATGTGTCCATATTGATTATTTTTGTATGCACAATCTAAGCAGCTTTGAACTAGCTCAAGCAGGTGACCAGTTGGGCTTTAAGAGACTTTATACGTCCAGAGAACTTAAATAAAAAACGAGCCAGGTTTCTAATTGAGATCTGCGTTTATTTGTTGCCACACCAGGCCAAAAGGACAGGAGTCTAATTGGGACTAGGCTTTTTACGTCTTAAAAATTCTAATTCAGAAACCACAAAAATGGAAAACACAGCTTTAAAGATGCACCTATCATTATCCTTACTTTAAGTGAAACAGACATTGGAGCGTCCTTATCTTCCGTAATGTGACATATTTTCAACAAGGGTTGTTCGTATTGGCGATTGGATCGGTTATCGACAATTGAAGGTCAGCGATTGGTTTTTCATGTGCCAATATTAAGGCGATTTTAACTATCACAATCAGAACTAAGATAACATAAAAACAGTCTCTAGAATCTGAACCACACTGCAATGTTTCCCATTCATTCATTTATTTATGGTGACTCGACGTGCCACAATATCAACGCTGAACACCACATACGATTTAGTATGAGTTTAATCATAATTCATGGTGGAGCTGCGAGCAGTGCGTAGATTCACTCAGCACCTCTGCTCTCTCTCTCTCTCTCCCCATGATCAGATGATGTGAAAATAGAGACGATCGCCCAACCCTGTTTCCAACTGAAACAAAAATGTGTCGGTGGAGTTTAGTGACAAGGGGGATTTGGATCAGATCCCTCAGATTTGATTGCGTCACTCAAAAGTGGGCGTGACCTATAAAGGTCAGGAGGAAGTTTAAATTAGGCCCAACCACATTCTTTTGGAATTGTAAACAAACCTGAAGAAGTGGACGTAGTCACAGTGCCATCACCCATTGGTTTATAGCCTACCATTTTGAAGCCTCGAGTTTGGCATCTTGGCCGTCGCTATTTTGGTTTTTTGGAACCAGACCTGACCATATCTGAACGAGAGGGTGAAGCTAGCTAGCTTGGTTACTAAGATGCATGCGTAATTCTAGTTTGCTCTGATACTAATTAGGATGCTAATTTTGGCTAACACTGTGAAAGCTTTAAAGTTCTTAGACAAAAACACAGACAGCACCCAAAAACAGGTTCAGAGCAGCAGGAAGATTCCCAGACCATGGGTGTGGCAACGGGCCTTGCAGGCGTAGGAAGTGGTGATGGGCTCCCATTTAGTTTTTGGCTTAAACCATGTAATTGTGTGTTAGGGCCAAGCCTGACATGGCATACATCATTATTGGCCTCCTTTTTCTGTGGCAGCTAAGAATAATTTTTCCTTCTACCGGTGATGCAGAATCACAATAGGTGACAGGAAAGCAATATAGGTGTGAGAGAGAGAGAGAAGTGTGCGTGTGTGGCTGTACATCATGTGAGACTGAGAGTATGAACATAGGCCAAAAAACCTCAGGCCTCTTACGTGTTTTGTCTCGTATTCTGTGATTTTTTGGGGGGAGGGGGGACTATAATGACTAAAGTGGCTCATGGTGATACTGTAAAATCAGCGCAACACATGTGAAAATCCAAATTGGTGTATGTGATTGTTAATGATGAATACGTTCCTATATATTCTTTCACGTTGGAAAGATGGGGGAGGGGGTGTGACTGTGGATGGAGGGTAGATAGCAATGGTTCAAAAGCATGCAGATGAGAAGCTGGGCATGCCAATGAGCCTGCTTAAGATAATGGATGTGAGGATGTGAGAAGAGATGAGCAGTACATGGAAGAAGAGAGTTTGGGGAAATAAGGAAAGACAGGAGGGAGAAGAAGTTATGAGAGCAAAGAGAGACAAAGACAAAAGCAGAAAATCGCAGAGATGAGATGAACTTTCCTGAATCGAACCAAATGCGAGATTAAAACGTTTCAATTTTCCAACTGGTCCAGATTGAATTCACAAAGGCAAAAACTCAAACGGTCCAGAAACTGTCCTCCAAATACTTGAACTATTAAATACTACTACAGTACTTTGACGTACTGTTGACGCAGTTATTTAACTTTTACACAACCATGCTCAACTGGGCATTGGAATCCATTCTCCTTCATTTAATCGCTAGAAGATCATTTTTATTGGGGTGGCACAGGGGGTATAGGGGTCATCCACTTATCAGAAATTCCGTGGTTCGATCTCCAGCTCTCCCAGTATTTCTGTCCTGATGTGCAGTTGGCACCTTAGCTTCTGCCATCACTGTGTGAACGAGTAAAAGTTAGGTAGTGTAAAAGCGCTTTGAGCGGTCGGAAGGCTAGAAAACCGCTATACAGACCATTATTTATATATATATATATATATATATATATTTATATTTACATATACCTCGGTGTCTTTACACACCTTCTCTGGTAACTGAGAAACATTCTCTTCAGCCCAAATATTCAGGAGGCATCTCACCTTCTTGTGAGGTTTGGTTTGTCCCTGGCTAGTCGCCATTTTGGTAGCAAAACAGCATGAGAAAACCCTTTTTTTGACACATGACAATGGTACACTTCCCGTTATTGGATTGATTGGAGTTCACACCAGAAATTAACCACTCCAATTCACTTGACAGCGGTTGGAGGCAGACCAGAGAATGATTGTAAATGTAAATGCTCTGTATTTGCACAGCGCCTTTCTAGTCTTTGCAACCACTCAAAGCGCATTTTTACACTCCCATCGTATTTACCCATTCACACACCGATGGAACAGCCATCAGGGGAAATTCGAGGTTCTGTATCTTGCCAAAGGACACCTCGCCTGGAGGAGGCGGGGATTGAATCTTCCGATTAGGCAACCCGCTCTACCTCTTGAGCCACAGCTGGGTCTGCACAAAGTTCGAGTTCCAGCATTCACACCGACAAACCACACCAAGGTGGTAAACGCTCCAGGGTTTGGTTCAACTGGATTAAACAACGTCGGTGTGAATTAGATGCTAATTTCATTCCTCTGTCAAAAGTCATAAAATGTGTTCGGTTACGTTCATCTCCAAAGAATGTAAGGACGCAGAGTGTAATAGTTAACAGAAAAAGAGGATGAAAATGGATTGGGGTACTGGTCTGTCTGAAAGTGGACTCCAAACTAGGGTGTAATGTTACTCTACCATGTCTTGAACCGAGTCCCATTCCATATGTGCGGCAATTCTGCTAACTAGACTCAATTCATGATTCTGGTCAACATTAGATCCAGGCTTATGGTCTTCACATGTTTACTGATAGAAAAAAAAAAGAAACAACAACCTTACTTTCTGATTATTTTAGCATATGCTTGGCTTGATAAGTTTACAAAATGGAGGAAGAAACACAAATCACTGATACTTAGTCCAGACACACACACACACCCCTCCGTGCATAAGTGCTTAGACAGCACATGAATTATGAAAAGGCATCAAAATGCAACAATCTCTCCTCACTCATTCTTCCTACTGCCAGTGGTACAGTATGCATGTGTGTTTTTCTGGTCCCGTGTGAACACTGTATTCATGTAAGAATCTGCGTCTGCCAGTCAACACATTTTTACATCCTCTACTGTCATGCCAGCAAGAGTCTAAGAGTAGGGCACACATATGGAGTAGTTATGGACACACACACACATTAGTCCTGCTTTAGCATACTGGCCATGTACTAAGAGACTGGTCACTCAGTGAGGCCTTGTGGTCTTCCTAACACCCAGAGCTCTGTCCATGTCATGTTTCTCAGAGCGCTGTGATGTCAGGTACAAGGATGTTATGTGAGAAGAGCAGGAGACGGTAATAGGCTGGAAAAAAGCCTGGTTAGAAGAGTACAGTAAGGGAGGATGTTATCACACTGTGCACAAAATGCAACATCTGTCCCGTCCATTGAAGGGAAAGTCCTGCATCCAGATAAGTGAATTTAATAAGGGTTATTCCCTCCAAAACAAAGGCATGCTATCAAATAGTGTGTTTCCAGACAAAAATAACACAAAGTGTAGGGAAATGAAAAAGAGGTCACTTTAAAAGACAGAGGAGCAACAACAACATCACCCTCTCAATATTTAATATTCTAAACTCAGTTGTTGTATGTGAATGTTAGTTTCTGTTTGAGCACTTAGGCTCAGTGTGTGAATGCAGATGTAGTGTAAAAGCGCTTTGTGGTCAAAAAGACTAAAAAGGCGCTATACAAATACGGAGCATTTACTCCTCCATGACAGTAAACTGAATATGTTCACCATTTTATGCACCAAATTACTAATCGATTGATCGAGAAAATAATCAACAGATTGACTGCATATGAAAATAATTGTTAGTTGCAGCCTGACGTAAAGGTGACGCAGTTTCCAAATGACTTCAAACCTTTGATAATCAGCTAACATTTTTGGAATGGCCTTTTATTGTGGCCAGCCTAAGGCACACCTGTGCAATCCTCATGCTGTCTGATCAGCATCTTGATATGCCACACCTGTGAGGTGGATGAATTATCTCGACAAAGGGGAAGTGCTCACTAACATAGATTTGTGAACAATATGTGAGAGAAACAGGCCTTTTGTGTACATAGAGAAAGTCTTAGATCTTTGAGGTGAGCTCATGATGAATGGGGGCAAAAACAACAATTTGGCGTTTATAATTTTGTTCAGTATATTTGATTGACCATCTGTCTTTTTGCCACCAGCTTTGAGTTTAAAAGCCACTGGACCTCTTTCACAAGGTTTTTATTTTATGTTGCTGAACTGAGCGCAGGCAGCAGCAGCAGTGGTGGTGGTGCAGGCTAACAATAGACGGTCTTAACAGGACAGGAAAAGTACTGCTGATACTGGTACCAAGCTCAGAGTTTGAACAACACGAGCTCACAAGATTTCGCAGGTCTTTGGTCTCACGTTTTGGTGGCATGGGGCATACATGTACACATGTGATTATTTGTAAATGAAACATGCAATAATGAATTTACCTGTGGCATAACTGAATGTTTTAACATAGGGAAATGAGAACGCACCATCCTGTAAGGCTGCAGTCATCCTCAGTATCTTGGGGAAAACACATTTTTTGCTGTTATGTGTTGTCATTCAGATGTGATTAGACACTTCTAGGATCGCCCCCGTAGCCAACCAAAGAGTAGGGCCTTTGAATTCTCAAAGTGAACAAATGCTTGAAATTCAATCTGCGTCAGAAGGTCAGTGGACTGTCTGATGCAGACTAAATGTTGATTGTGACCATCTGAGGCTGACACTAGAGGTAACGGTCAGCATATAGTGGAAAGTGAATGACGGAAGAACTGTCTGAAATATATATGTAACTGAGCCACAATCAATGACAATGAATTGCCATGTGAGCCCTCCTGTCTTCAGGGGGCAGAGACACCAATAAGCACGCCTCCTCCTGGCTTACACTGATCTCAAGTAGATGACAGGGGACCCAGGGTTGTCCCAGAGCACATTTAAGTGCAGGATGCATGTAGACAGGCTAGCACACACCCACCAACACATTGAAGATGCAAGCACAACATGTTCATGCTGCTTATATATGTACCCACAAGGTATGTGCATCTCTACAATAAACAGGACTCAATAAAAAAAATACGTTTTTAAACACTGTGCCCATATGAAAGCCAATGTGACTGATGACACACACACATCCTATTGCTTTACCAGTTGATCCTGTCATGCAGTACAAAGGAGGCAACGGTGCATCTCTGTCATTGTGGCTTGGGGTTTGCAGGATAATTGCTATAGAGTGCGTTGTGGGGAAAAGATTACAGTTAGGTTGGTTGGTTGGTTTTAAATCAGTGAATGTCCCCTATGCGAGGAAATGGCACGGTGTAATGCTGGCCTACGGTCTGCTGGAGGAAGGAAGTGGAGCCACTGCAGGCGCAGTGCCAATGCAAACAGATGCACATCAGCTTTCTGATCTATTATGCGGTCTCTAGCTTTCAAGTAAGCTAACGTTCGTGGTAATTTAAGATAATGTGCGGGATTAACTGGGTGACTCGCTGGTAGCTTGCCTCAGTTTTAGCTGTTATGCAGCTGTGGCGAGTCTTTCAGGTGTTTGCATTTAGGCTAGTTCCGAGCCCGAAAACAAGACTCTTAGCGTGGGTAGTATTTGACTGAGCGCATACAGTACTTTGGCATTCACTGCGTCGGATGTTTGTGTTGTTTTGGAAGGGCGGGGAACTGTCCACGCACGCGACGCAGGCTCACACATGAAACACGCACAGTTAGGGTCCCTTCAAAGCACCCGTTTCCCTCTGGCACTTGTTACCTTGCGTTTTCTGGTCTCGGCTGACCCGCTCCACACGAAGCACTGATAAATAACCCGTAGGTTCTGCTTCCAGTTGTCCACTTTGAAGCTGTTGACATGGGGACAGCCTGCGGGACTCATGGTAGTCACAGCATCCGGCTTTGCTGTCCTCTAGGCGATGAAACCTGTTCAAATCCCTCAACGCAGTACCCAGTCCAAACGGGCAGGTTGGTTAGCTTGCCAGGTTCGTTATCCACCGATTACTGCGCTCTGGCTAACTGGACATGTTCTGGGTACAGTAACGGAGGCACGCGCAGTACAAAACATCAAGACGACACTCCAATATTCCTCTATTAGACATTAAACATTATATAAGCCTATGCATTTAAATCCACAAAAGCGCTGTATATGTGGTTCTTCAAATTCGCTAAATTACATGTTAGCAAGCTGGCTAAAGTTGGTTAGCACTGGAATTTCAACAGTAGCTTGCACCGTTGAGTGTCGTCAAGACCCACCTCATTCATACCGTGGACCAATGAGGTGCGAGTGCTACGCATGATTGGCGTGTGCCAACTTTCTTTTTCCCGGTTAAATCCCGCCTCTACGAAGCGTGTGCTGCGTCGTGATTGGTGCCATTTTCCTGCAAGCCACATCCGCCTGTATGTGGACATTGATTGGCTAAAGCCTAAATCAGCTTCATTGTACAAAGCAAGAACGTTACAATGTGTCAATCGAGAGTGGATGGAAATTCATATCCACCTTACAGTGCACGCAGAACCAAGTGGATTAGGATATTTTCACAAAGGCATGAAACCCAGATCTATATTCTTAAACAATTTATTATTAACAGATCCACAATCGCAAAGCTTAAGCTCCCAAATGACATGACAGTTTGGTTTCATCTGTTGACTTCACCTCTTGTAATAACAAGCTGTCAAAACGGTTTTCTATACAGTGCTCTAGCGACCTCTAGTGAATCCGACCTAAAAAAACAAAAAAAGAAAAAGGGAAAAAACAAACAAACAAACAAACCAAAAAAAACAAAACAGTGCACCGGATTGTGAACGACTCCTCCACTGTACTGAGTTTGGTCAAGGGCGTGTCCAGATAAAGATTTGTACAGATTTTCTATTGATGATATCTACATTCTAACCAAAAGGAGTGAGAGGGACACGATCTTTGCAGTTTTTACAAATGTTGAATATATCAGATTTAATCCTCGTCAGCCATAGATGTTTTACCTCATATGTAATGCCCTCTTGTAATGGCCATCATGCAGCAGAACCAAAACAAACAGTGAGATTATTCACACATGTGTTTGGAACAAATAAGTCCAGTTTTTATTTTTGTGGTTTCTGTTAATGTAGCAGTGGCGCACCAACCTGAACATTGATAAATAAAACACTGACAAAATTGTAATCTTTTTTTCCTTTTTCTGTAAGGATCTCTTGTTATCCTTAAGACACTGTGAAGAAAGAATAACCAAATTTATCATCATTCCACACAATTAGATTTTCCTTGACCAATGTCCTTATGCAATAGAATGTTTGTTTTCCTCTTTAAAAAAAATCCAACTCATCCTGGGAAGAACGTGTTGGGTGGCTGCAGCGTTCTTTCCCCGTCCAAGGCCTCTCAGGAATAACTTGATGTTTTGCTACCAACATCGTCCTCCTGCGATCCCATACTCTGCAAATAAAGTGTAACATGTTGAGAATGCAGTTGGAAAAAACAGTTCCTGTTGGGAGTATTGCAGACGGTTTTATCTCTTGAAACTAACCAAGGGCCTTTTCCAGGACGCAGGTTAACGACAGAATTACGAAACCCAGAACTGGTCCTTTTCCACTAGTCCATGTTCCAGATGTTACTTTTCTAGTTTTTGATTGTTATGTATGTGCAGTGGTGATGATTTTTTAACGCCTAAATACCAAAAAGGTCATGTTTTGTACAATTTTATTTGTTTTTTTGTCATTCCACCGATAGCTAGCCATACTACTGTTGTGCTCAACCGCGTTCACATTCCTTAGATCATTTCATTCTATCATAGAAAGAATATTTGCACCATGGATAAAATAATAATAACTGAATAATGAATAATAACATCCCAAGACCATCCCAAGGAAATGTATGATTCCACAAACCAAAACACATCCATGCATAGGTTAAAAAAAAAGCTATTCATACATATATATTTGATGCTATTAAACTTTGCCTCACCTTCTGCACAAATTGGGGATTTACTGTGATTTCTTGATCCATAGACTTTAGTTTTTCATCCAGCTCTATACATTTCAACATCTGAAAGGAGAAAAATGATACAGCTTCACTTTAAAATGGTAGTTAACGCCAAACATACTATCGGGATTCATACACAACATTATGATAAGACTTCATGCAATGCAAGACGGCACTGAAAATAAGAGTTGGGCATCCTCACCTCTTGGTCAATTTTGTGGAGCATTGCAGGGTTGTTGTATTTTTCGGGGTTGTCGTGGAAGCAGACCATGCCATCCTTTTGGTTAATGCTAGCGTAGATCTCACCATCTTCAATCTGCACAGAAGCGTCACATCTAATTTGCATACTTCATGTGCAGCGATTTCAAGTTAAGCGTGCGGATGAAACGTTGGGACCGGCTGTTCAAGTTTTGAGTCTTTCTGGACCAACTCACCATGTGTAAAACGTATTTCTCTGCCTCCTGGGGGCCCGACAGCTGCACTCGACTCGCCATGTCTTGCAAAGACAGTGTCAGGAAGGTCTGCAATACAACATATTAAATGAGATTAGACTAAAATATCTACTGAACCTGTGAGTGTAACCTCACGTATGTTACTTTTCTTTGGTTGAACTATTGTTATATCTTTCATGCTGCTCAATTAAAAGCAGCCAAGAACTTGCCACCAAGGTGCCAGAGCTCACACGCACCTTTTTATTGTATAGTTCTACCTTCAGCCAAATATTTCAGGGATGAATATTGGGTTCATTCAGACATTTACAGACAGATTTTTTTTATTTATGTACTTTAGTAATGTGAATGATGACCAAACAGGTGGAGGCGTTGCTATTCATTTCACTCTGAATAGTCAAAATGGCTGAGAATACTGCACCAACTAACTGTAGCAACGCCTGTAAGCCCAAATCAAAGCTACATCTTGATATTAAGATAGAAGCCAAAGTATATCTTGTCTTCTGTCATGACATGACAGAAAAGTGATAAAAAGTGATATGTCATCCAGCTCTAGCTGAAGACAGCAAATTCTTGATTCCTTTCTACTTTGCTCAGCTTTCCGGGTACGAGTAACAGCTGGCTATCAGATGTCTACATCCGAGTCACTCCCCGACGTTTCCTGTCATTCTGGTTACAGACACTAATGACGTGCAGCACAGGTGGAGGACTGAGACACATTTCCTGATGTCTCAGGTTAGAGTTAAAAAAAAAGAAGAAGAGGGTATTGTTCTCACCTGGCCAAATAAACTAAACAGAATAAGTGCAAAACCAATTTAACCACTGTGTGATTTAAATACGCTAAGACACTCTTTTGCTTGATTGTTCTTTCCACAGGCTGTATGCATTCCCGCCTAAAATGAACTTAAATGTAATCTTTAAACCAAGTCATAGCACCAGTCATACAGTAAAGTTTAAACCATGACTGGAGGAATTTCACTCATACTTTCTTGTGATAACAAACGAGCTCGCAGGCACACCCACCTTTGTTAACCTCTGGATGTTCTTCTTGTAGAGGGAGGAGAGGCACTGTTTGACCAGGCCTGTGTTGTTGTCTCGTGTGAAGGTCTCGCTGTGTTTGTTGACCACACCGCGCAGCTCGGCCGGGTTGTTGGTGGCGTAGACCTGAGCCAGCTCGTGGTACGCGTTGCTCAGGGGCTAACGGCAGCAATAAGAGAAAGAGAAGAGTGCGGGCAGAGAGAATACCAAGCACTTAATGGCGCAACAAATCATCAACTGCATGAGCAGATTACACTGCATTACACAGAGAGGGTCTCCTCATTGATATAAATGGACAAAATTATAGAAATGCCTGCCGGTATAACTCAATTCAATAGCACCACAAAATACATCCTCCAAAAGGGCCACACAGTTTAATCAATCAGTCAGTTTCAACAAAAACTGATTATAACACTCGTGAAGGCAGAATTTACTGCAGGACTGTTGATTAGTTTAAGCTAGGTGTACCCTAAAACTACAAACTAAGTGTATACTCCAGATTCTGTAAACCACAAGTAGACAGAGTGTTATTTAAGTGAGAAACATTTCGTGACTAGCTTCATCTGTTGAGTTACAATGTGCTTACTTGCAGCAGCTGCAATTCCTATAACTTAAATGTCTGCATATGAAAATCTAACTGCTGTCCCAAAAGAGCAAAAGCCCTAATAATGTTCATTCCTTCCATGCTATTTGCCCTTACCTTGATGAACCTCCCTACTATTTGTGACGTGTATTTGGGCAACGGCTGCACTTTGCCGTGGAGAATGAGTGACACCAGGATGTATTTCTTATAGGCTTCCAACATGATGTGGCTCACTGCCATGGCTGGAGTGGTTATTGCCTAGAGAAAATGAGAAACACATTATACACCAGAGAAAACTGTGCATTCAGGGCATAAATGAGCATGTGTGACAATTTCTGAAGATTTAATGGTTAAATTAGAAAGGTTATTCCATTACATGTATGCATGTCAGTTCACTTGGTGCAGCATAAAGCGCACAGGGGTACCTGTTCATAAAAATACAGTGCTCTTTCGAAGTTTTTGAGGCCCGTGTAGATCATGCCCCCATAGTAGTAGTAACATAAAAAGTGCTTTGCGTCATAAGCTCCGTTCTCCTTACAGATGTCCATCATGTCCAACTCCAAGAAGGGCAGGGCGGGCTTGAAGCACTTTGCTAACAAGCACAGCTGCAAGGAGACAGATATGTAGTGAGGATGACTAAGAGGGTTAACACTGGACTGTCATACTGAAAAGGAACTGTGCTGGGACTGAGCCTGCCTTTGAATTATTTAACACAACTCTTTGAATGGCATATTCAACAAGTATGCGTTTAGGAGAAGGAGGAGATAACAGTAAAGATAACAGGGATAACATGGATGTTGATTACAAAACAATGCTAGCAAAATTATTTGTGCAAGGTAATTCCATTCAGGGTTACAACCATGCTGGTGATGGTGCAGGGCCAGAGACTCACCTGACACAGGTCTCCATGAACTGAGGTAAGTTGGTTTGTGTTCATCTGCATTTTGTCTATTGCCTGTTTTAGGACAACAACGCCCCTCAATGGCTGTCAGAGAAGGAAGAAATATTCTGAGTTATCCTGGGACATCAAAAACAAACTGAAAACCTGTGCTACACTTTAAAATGCACTGAAATATTTAGATCAAGAAGTGGAAAGGAAAACATGCTACTCTTGGATGCTGAAACTCAGCAATAGGATGACTCACTTGGGCCTTGTCTTGTCAGACAGAGTTGAAAATAAGATTCGCTATCGCTAAGGGGAATCTGCTTTTGC